ATATATATATATATATATATATATATATATATATATATATATATATATATATATATATATATATATATATATATATATATATATATATATATATATATATATATATATATATATATATATATATATATATATATATATATATATATATATATATATATATATATATATATATATATATATATATATAAAACGTGAGAGCATCAAGTTGAAAACCCCAAACGTGAGAGCATCAAGTTGACAAAATATTTTTTTTTACTATTCTCAACAAGATTTTAATTCATCGATAAATTTTAAGTTTCATAGTATAATCTCTTAGCATTCAAAAATTATGACCTTACAAAGTTTGAGCCTCCTCAATTTGAGGGGGTTACAAATGTTATATGGTCATAACTTTTGAACGCTGAAAGATTATACTATGAAACTTAGAATATTTATTAACAATCAAAAAAATAATAATAAAAAACAATTAGTAAAACATTTTCTATCAAAAAAAAAGGTAGATTTACTCATAATTGAGTCTGTATTGTCTGTGTATTCATCAATAGCAACAGATACAAATTCAACTAGTTTTATGCCATTAGTAAAAGATTTAAAACTTCAGTTCAGAAAATTTTAATTCTGTTAAGGCATTTGACATAAAAATCTACCGAATTAGAGATGTTAAGCTTATTTTTGTTTTATTGTCACACACTAATTCATCTAAAACTGCAAGTATGCATTCTTTCACGGTTTCTGAATCGAGATAATTTCGTTTTACATTTACATAAAACAAAGAGTATTATATACGAGAAAATATTATATACCTTATGTTGATTTACGTTTAAAACATTCATTTTTTTTCAGAGAGGCTTCGAATGAGTTCGTCGATCATACGAATTAACTAAACGCTATATGTTTCTGATGACGATAAAGAGGCTTGAGTCTCAGAAACATATACTACGTATATAACATATACTACATCAGAAACATAAACTAGATCTAGTTTACTTTTGTTAGTACTGCCCCACGCAATAATTGCATAGTTTATATGTAGGGTGACCGTAGTCCCGGTTTTTGCATTGAAGAGCGCAGCGCTTAATTGTAATTGTAAATAGTTTAACGCTGCGTTTTGCATTGGAGAGCGCAGCGCTTAATTGTAATTGTAAATAGTTTAACGCTTAATTGTAAATAGTTTAACGCTGTGCTCTCCTACGTAAAAACCGGGACAATGGTCACCCTATTTATATGGCAGTGAATAATAAGTGAACAAATTACCAGTGGCGGAACTTCAAATTTTGGGCCCCCCGCAAAATATATTTTTGGCCCCCATCACAAAGAGGAAAAAATAATTTTTATCTAAATATATTTATTGAAAAAATTTTTGCTCAACAGAAATCAAATAAATATATTACAGTATATCTAAAATTGTAAATCTTTACTCCTTGATTTTAAATTCACAAAATCTGTAATCACAATTGATGCAAAAACAGCTAAAACAATGGAAATCTTTGATTTCCATTAATGAAGTTTCATAAAACTCTTTGGAAAACTTACGATTGTTTTGTGAGGGATGTGATCGACAGGAACCTGGTAAAATAGTAATTTTTTTCATATCATCTGTTAATATTTTGTTCTGAAAATCTGCAATGTCAGTAGAAAATATTCTATCTTTCTCAGACTTATTATTTATATCTTCTTTGTCTATATTTATTGTCGTTTCACTTAAATCTTCACTACAATGATATAATATTTTATGCTCTTTGGAATCATCTTGTCCATGTTTTCGCTTTTAAAACGTTTAGAAAATAATAACATGCAATAGTACAAAATATCTGGCTTTACTTTTCAAAACTTTTGAGTGGCTTGCAGAATGTTTGCGGAAAGATAAAAAAAAAAAAGCGGGTTAAAAAGTTTTTAAAGGTAAAAAAGAAAAAGTCATAGATAAATTTAAATATCATACATGTTTTTTTTTTTTATAAGCATAACGTTTATAAGTATATGGAGGTTCAGATTTGGAAAAAAAATAAGCATATGTAAGCATATTTCTGAGCCTCGATAAACCATTTAAAAGATTTAAATTTTATTTAATTAAAATTTTTAAATATATATATTTCTAAATTTAAGCCTACAAAAACAACAAAAATCGAAGTTTATGTTTTGCAGTGCAACGACTTTATGAAGTAAAGAAGTCATTGTAATGCAAAATCTAAACCTCAATACTTGACCAGAAAAACATAAAGTTTAAGAGTCGCTCTGCAGTGTTTTATTTCTCTCTCTCTTTTTTTTTCTTTCTCTCTCTTTTTTTTCTTTCTCTCTCCTTTTTTTCTTTCTCTCTCTCTTTTTTTTCTTTCTCTCTCTCTTTTTTTTCTTTCTTGCCCTTAATGTGTAGTTTATTTAATACCATATTCAAAATGTTTATTTTATTTTTAAGTCTTATTTTCAGATACTGTTAATAATAGTAATAGTAAGATAAAGAGAAAGCAGCCTACATTGGCAGCGTTTGGTTTCACAAAAAATGTTATGCACAGAGGAGAAATGAGTGCAATCCGATTGCCATTAGAAGCTGTTGTGTTGAATGCAAACATTGCAAAAAGTTATTCAAAAGCCAACAAGGACTAGCTTTTCATGTTAAACTTATGCACGGAATTAGCAAAAAAGATTGTAAACATTCACAATCACAAGTTCTTCAAAGTAACAAAGAACTTGTCACTCTAGCAGTTAAAGATGTACTTGATAACATTGTCAACAAAGTTGTTAGTGCCATAAAAAAAAGTGAAGAGGCTAGCAAATTAGCTGGTAAGAAACGCCACCAATATACTTCTGCCTTTAAAGCAGAGGCAATTAACGCCTATGGTTATGAGGCAAATCAAGATACTATAGCAGAGTTGTTTGGTGTAACGCAAAGTCAGATTTCGCGATGGCTTAAAAAAAAAGAAACTATTATTAAAGATGCCGAATCATCCTATCGCAAATTGTTTCTGAAGGGAAGACGTTCCACAAAATATCTTGAACTATACGAAATTCTTTACAAAGAATTTTTACAAGCCAGATCGAAAGGTCATATTGTTAACTTTTCCTGGCTTTGGAGTAAAGCTAGAAATATACAATTAAACATTGATCCAAACGTGGTAATAAAACATCATGTTATAGTTCGATTTTTACAAAAAAAGGAGTTAAAAATGAGATCGAAACAAAGAAACAAAAGGAAACATAAGAAAAAAATGGAACCATTATTACAGAAATGGCATGCGACATACAGAGAAAAGTGTATCAGAACAGGTTCTAAAGATCCCAGCTATGACAAAAAATGGGGACGGTACCATCCTGGACAAAGGCTCAACGTTGACCAGAGCCCACTTCCCTTTGTTGTTCATGGTAAGAAAACTTACGAGTATGTTCTCAAGGGTCAAGGTGCAACACATAATACATGGATCTCACAACCGGGCTCAGGATTGGAAAAAAATCTTCCCTTCAAATTATGTTTCGGCCGGAAGGAGAGCAACCAAACCTAGCCCTCATTTTTAGAGGTCAAAGAAAACGCATTTCAAAAGACGAAAAGTTAGCATGGCAAAAAGATATTCACATTTACTTCCAACAAAATGCTTGGTTAGACCAAAACGTTTGTAAGCACTGGTGTGATAAAACACTCCTTCCATTTGTCAGAGAACAAAAGCTTGATAAATTTGTTCTTTTGCTGGACAATTTGAAGGGACAGATGCAGGAGGATTTTAAAGATGCTGTGGCTGCTGCTAAAGGACTTCTCTGGTACGGTCTACCAAGTGCCACTGACCTTTGGCAACCAGTTGATGCCGGATATGCTGCAAATCTGAAAAGGCTTATTGCCATTGAACATCAAAAATGGCTTGATAGAGATAATCATTCTGATAGATGGTTCAGTAATGAAATGCCCTACACTGCAAAAGAGAGACAAATTTTGATTACACATTGGGCAGGGGAAGCATGGAAAGCTTTAAACACTTCTAAGTATGACAAGCAAAGGAAGAAATGTTGGACGATGACTGGGTGTTTAATGACTTCTGATGGCTCAGAAGATTGGCTTGTTAAACCAGAGGGCCTTGATAGTTACAAAGTGCCCCCACCATCCATCATTGATCCTGGCAGTGATCAACCCAAGGGAAATCAAAGTGATATTTAACCGGTGGAGGTAGATGATGCTATAAATGAAGATGCCAACGAAATTCTTCCAGATGACACCTTTATGGGTCCGGACGAGAAGGAATGCGAAGTTCATATCTTTGATTTCATTGATAGCATTTGTATATAGTATATATTTTTTATTTTTTATTATACTGTACAAAAGTCAACTTTTTATTTTTCTTATAACCTTTAGTAACGCGCGCACTTTTAGAAAGTATTGAAATAAGCATATTTTATTAGAAATATGCTTAAGTTTAAGCATATTTTTGAGCCTCTTTTAACTTTTTGCTTAAGCATACCCGAGTCTGTTTCAAAAATTTCATATGCTTATAAAAAAAAAAAAAAACATGTATATTTAAAGAACATAAAAAAATAAAATAAGTAAGAACAAATTAAAAAGACTTAAAAATAAATCGAAATACAATACATAAACAACAAAGAAGTCTAAGGAAATTAAAGGAACGTAATAAGAAAGGACGTAACCGAAAAAAAAAATCATTGAATCAAAACAAAATTCAAATAAAAAAGAACTGATGAAAATGTTTTTTAATACATAACCCATTGGGAAAAAGACATCTTTAGACGAATAAAAAGCGTCTTTTTTATGACTTGTTATGTCTATTTATAATCAGCCTAAATAAAGACGTGGAAAGACGTCTTTTAAAAAGACTCTTCAAAAAAGAGGTCGAAAAGACGTCAATTGGTTGTTAATAAGGAAATCATTATTTGTTTAAGAAAATTAAAAATAATTATTGCCAATAAAACCTAACAAAGATGGGTTTTAACCCACAGTATCGTAATTACGGTATCTTTGTTACGTTCTGATTGGCCCGTTTTTTGTTTACAAAATACATTTATATAACTTTTTTTATGTTAAGATGTTTTTGCATAGAAAATTTAATTAAAAATAACTTTTTTCGGTAAGCGGGTTTATTCAATAATTTTTATAATAAAGCGCTATATTATGTAAAATATACATAATATAAATGCATATATATATATATATTATATATACTATAATATTATAGTATATATATATATATATATATATATATATATATATATATATATATATATATATATATATATATATATATATATATATATATATATATATATATATATATATATATATATATATATATATATATATATATTATATATACTATATATACTATAATATATATAATTATACATAAATTATAGTATATATATATATATATATATATATATATATATATATATATATATATATATATATATATATATATATATATATATATATATATATATATATATATATATATATGTATATATATATATATATATATATATATATATATATATATATATATTGAAATAAATATACAATTGCAGCTGTTTAGCTAAAAATTGTTATTCGGAAAAAGCAAAAGTGGATGGCGTGGTGCCATTAAGATGGTATCGATATGATCTAGTCTCAATTAAGTGTCGCAGGTAATTGTTTGAAAAAGTTTTACCGTTCATTTTTAGACTAATTTTTTAATGTATTGTGCTTGAAGAACGTTTTTATTACATATTAAATTAAAACATTTATTTTCAGACGAAAAATAAAACCTGTAAATAATTTCACTCTATATTTACTAGTTCAAGTGCCAGTGAAACGAACGATAAAAAAGAAGAAGCATTCAGTAGGCTTGCAATTTTTTTTTTATAGATTTTTAAATGATCTGAATACTTTTGTTGTTTTTATTTAGTTGAATGATGAAATTGTTTATACAAAAGATTTGACTTTAACTTTTATATTAAATATGTTATTTCCTTGTTAACTGTTGCCTGTCATTAACAAAGCAATTATAAAAATACATATAATGAAAATAAATTTATCTTTAAAACTGTTTGCAAAAATTTTGATTTGGATACAAAAAACCAAGTGAAAATGCTACTGGAAAGGTACACTTTCTTATATTTAAACATCACTGCAGCTTTCTAGTCTTAATTTTTGTTTATGTGTATTTCATCTGTGTTGCTCATGATATCGCCAGTTTTTATGATTTTATGTTGTTAAGTAAAGCATCCTTATGTTTCAGGCTAAAATAGAGCTTTGACTAATACTTTTTTCCAGTTTAAATGAATAACAACTCTCAAGGTGTATTAGCTGAATTATCTTTTTGTTTTGATAGTCTTTAGTCAATAACGGATTTTTAAATTGTTATGAGTCTACAACACTTTATTTCTGCGAAATTCAATTAAAAAGTCATGTTATAGAAGACAAAAAAATATCAATATCTGTTTTCAATAACTTGGCTTTCATAGCAAATCTGTTGCAAATGTTTTGCTTGATTTAAGTACTACATAATAAAATACATCGTTGTACAGTCAATTTGATGGTTGTAAATTTATTTAACACACTCATTTTTATATATTTTTAGATTGTTTACCGCTTGACTCCTGTCCCAATCTAACCTAGTGGGTTCAAAAAAAAGGGACTGCGCTGGAAACATGCGTGGATTAAAAGGATCAGCCCTTTTTGAATTAATAGTCGGTAAGTATAATGTGCTCCACTCAGCTAATCAAGTTTTGTTTGCTTTTTTTGTATTACATTTAAGCAATAGTCTGTTTTTTATGTTCCCTTATTTTTTAGAAGTGGTAACCAGCTAGAAGTCGTAACCTGCTTGTATGAAAGGATTTCTCGACGTGAAATTGTTAATTTTATTTAACAACGTCAAGAAACAGAGCTCGCTCAAGAAACAGAAAAGAAAGAGAAAGACGAAATAATATTCTGTTGAACAATACTATTGTTTTATTTATAAATTATTCTTCTATATTTAAACATATAATAGATGTAGAAAATGCTTCCTCTTTTATATTGACATCTAAAAGAGGTTTTTTTCTCGGTATCGGAAAAAGCTTTTTATCATACTTTGTATGAAGAGTTATTATTATTTTCATTTGAAAAAAATAGTTTTTCATAATAGAAAAGTAGGAATACTAGAGTGAATAGGATACTATAGTATACTAATAAGTATGGCAAAAAAGTCGTTCCGACCCCGAGAAAAAACACTTTTTTAGAAGTGCATAATTGATAAACAATTACGTCTTAAAGACGCATTTTTTATGTCTTTTCATGATAAGATCAAAGACAAAATAGACGTCTTTTCGATGTCGAAAAAAGATGTCTTTTAGATTTGCAAATTCGAATTTTTAAAATAGCGTTTGAAAGACGCATTTTTTATATCTTTTCATGACAAGATTAAGATAAAAAAAGACGTCTTTTCGATGTCGAAAAAAGATGTCTTAAGACATCGTAAATAAGACTTTTAAAGTCGTCTTTTCGACGTCTTTTTTCCCACTGGGAAGTTTTAAAAGTATTATATTGACAACTACGTGTTCATTCATTCGTTTTCTTATGTATCCATCATTTTGTGCATACAAATAGATTTTTTTTGTTGTTTGTTTATTTTATTTTATACATATATATTTTTGTAATTAGTGTTTTTGATCAGTTTGTTGTTGTTTTATATTTTATTTCTTTCGATTTTTGGTCAGGCATTACTTTAATACAGGATTGAAATTTTTAAAATTGATAATAATTTTTAAACACTACATTTCCTTCAAAAAATATGGCCCCCTACAGCTCTGGGCCACCCGACATTGCGGGCTTTTGCGGTAAGGTAGTTCCGCCACTATGAATAATACAGTTGCGTTATTGTGCGCATGTTTAAATAGCTTTTTGATTTGTATGATATACACTACTTTTTGAAATTTTGTTGATTAAATTTTCGATGCGTTGTCTCCATGTAAGATTTTTATCAATATATATTCCTAAAAACTGTATAGTTTTTACTCTTTTTACTTGAATAATATCAATGAATATAGAAGTCGTGATTTGCGATACAAGTTGCATCTCCAGATTTTAGAACTGGTATCATCCCTATAATTTTCAGTTTAACTGGAAACCTTCCTTGTTCTAAAGAAAGACAGAAAATATTCAAAAGCGGAGTTTTTAAATAAAATATTGATTTAACTGTTACATTGCTACTTACATCATTAACTCATTACCTTTATTTGATTTTAATAAATTTGCAGTATCAAATAGTTCCATAAGATCAGTGGTGGCCAAACCACTGCCCGCGGTTAAAAAAATGCCCGCAGAGAATTTTTTTTTAAATGCCCTTAAACAATTTGGATATTTAGAAAACGATCATCTTGGTAATGTGATACTTCTATCTACCTCAAAAATCAATCCAGACATCAAAAACTAGTTTTAGACGGTCAAGTTCACCACTCTTAATAATTATATTGCTTTGATACAAATGATTATAATAGTTATTAAATAAAAAATTTTTGCCCGAAAAATTGTTTTTTAACTTTTTTTTGCCCGTATCCTAAAAAGTCCGGCCACGCCTGCATAAAATTATTAGAGGTTAAATATGATTCGAAGCTAGTTTTACTGTTTTTTACTTTAGAAGCCAAACTTGGACCCGTATTAACTAATGCATGACTGAAAAAATTAAAGGTTAAAGAATCTAGTAATTTCACGACTATTTATAAGGTAAGTCCATTATTAAATTCATTAAATCCATGCTTATGCTTTTTTTTACCTATCACCCCTTTCATTATGCGCCACATTTTTTGACATCATTTTTGCAGTTAAATAATTGGTTAGTTTAATACTGCTTTTTTGAATACTTTACGACTGTTTCGAAGAACCGTTTGTAATTTTTATTTTTTTTTATGTTTTTTTTTTTAAATCAACTTTTCGTATAAACGTCCTTTTTTTTTGATGACTTTATTTTTATATTTTTTTTATGTTTTTTTTTTTAATATAAACTTTTCGCATAAACGTCGGTTTTTTTGATAACTTTATTATTCCCGTTGTTATCTAAGGATTTTACCGGGATTTGGTTTTGAAAAACTAATAATAATTGGGAAAGCTTCATTGTAGTGGCTTTGAAATATGCAATCAAAATTACCATAAGCTTTTTCTGCATTTTTAGTTTTTAAAATAGTTTCCCAATTTGTTGTGAATAATAGATTGATAAAATTCATAAAGGATTAATCATTAACTATTCTTTTTTTTTTTTTAGTTTACAATGTTAGTCGTGATACAAAATAATATAAGTCGTGATATATAATAATATAAGTCTGATACATATATAATAATATAAGTCGTGATATATACTAATATAAGTCTGATACATAAAAATATTTAAGACTTCTACAAGAAAAGAAAAAAAAATGAGTATATATATATATATATATGTATATACAATTCAGCGTACTAACAATATAAGACTAGGTTTCCGAAAGAAGATCAGAAGGATCTTATCACCGGAACCTTAAAAAAGACATAATGCAAAGATTTAACATAATGCAAATATGCAATATACTAATACAATATAACATAATGCAAATATACAATATACTAACATTTTAATACTCAATATGCTGAAGATTTGAAAAATACATTTTACATAAATTTTTAGTAGAATTTTAGAATGTTGTCCATACAGAGAATGAAGTTTTTTAATTTAGTTTTAAAAACAGGAAGAGTAGTAGAAGGGTCAAAATTTGGTAATACTATTTTATTCCAAAGATGGGGTGCACGATATGCAATACAGAATTGGTTGAACTTCGTTTTACAAAATGGTTCATTTAGAAAACTAATACTTCTTAATGTGTATTTATTTATTGGTTTTAAAGAAAAAAGGTCATTGAAAACAAATAAAGATAAATCGTTTTTCCACATAAAAGTAAAACATAAAACATTAAATATGTTAAGTTTATAAACATCTAGTACATTCATATAATCAAAAAAATATTTCGAACGTGAAAAGCGATCCGCATAATTAACTACACGGATTGCATGTTTCTGACGGCGATAAAGATGTTGTAATTTACTTTTCTCCGTACTTCCCCAGGCTATGATTGCATAATTTATATAATTATGTATAAATGAATAATAGAGCTGGGTTAAGTTTTTTTTGTTTAGATAATTTCGAGCTTTGTATAAAATGCCAATATTTTTAGAAACTTTGGTGCTTATATGATCAATATGCTTTCTCCAAGTAATATTTTCATCAAGATAAACACCTAAGAATTTTATAACAGTATCTCTTTTTATTATAGTTTCATCAATGTAAATTTGAGGCATATTATTTGTTAAAAATCGTTTTTTTGCGCAGGAGTGAAAAATAATCCATTTTGTTTTGTTAATATTTAAAGTTAATTTATTAGCTTTGAACCAGTTCGAAATGTGTTTGAGTTCTTTGTTTGTAGTTGAAAAGAGTTCATAAATATCAGTATGGGATAAGAAAAGATTAGTATCATCAGCGAACATTATACTTTTCAATTTGGAAGCTTTGTTTAAATCGTTTACATAGATTAAAAATAGTAGTGGTCCGAGAATAGAGCCTTGTGGAACACCACAAGTTATGCTCAGGGGTTCACTTTGATAACCATCATTACTATACACAAGTTGCTTTCGATTTGTTAAATAGCTTTCAAACCATTTTAAAATTTTATTGTTTAAACCATAATATTCAATTTTTAATTTTGATTTTCCCTGACATTTTATTGATGTTTTTTTGTGAATTTATATAAACTTTCAGTGACAAGTATTCCGGTCTTAACTTTTGTTTTTGAAGTTGTTAATTATGATTTGATTAATTAATATAGTGCTATTTTTTATTATGCAAGTTGGTTTGTTAATTGTTGGTATTGTGGTTTATCCTCCTCCAGCTAATTGCCATACGGAGGCCGCATTACCAAGACAAGTTCAGCTCCTTAAGGAGAGTCATAACTAAAAAGTTTCAGTATGTGTTTTTTTCCGAGTGGTTTGTTAATTGTTGGAATGAAAGCATTTTGAAATAAAATATTGGTAAAATTTCTGACGTTTTATTTTTTTCATAATTAAGCAAGTCTAAATTTAGATCGCTCAAAAGTAAATTAGTTTGCCATAAATATTACTTTTTTTTATAGTGATTGTTAAATGCTTTTATATTACCTGAAGGCGGTCTATATATGACGTGCAAAGTTACGTTTTTGCTGTCGTTTAGCACCTCAAAGGTTAATAAATTATAATCCTTTGTTATCGAGCACAATTCTTTACGAAGTTTAAAATCTAAAGAATTGTGGATGAAAATGCACACTCCTCCTACTACTTTTTCATATCCTTTTATTTGATGAATACGCTAATTTAATATTATTATTATTAGTCGAGTTACGTCATTTTCTAGGCTTTTCTATTTTAAAGTAGTTTCTAGGCTTTTCTATACGCGGTTTTTTTTTTAATTTTATTTACTTACAACGCGTATTGCGGGTTGCTTACTGCTAGTATTTGATGAATAACTTTATAATTATTAAGTTGAAAGTTAGACACCATGTTTCTCTTGGGCATTTAACTTGAGAATTTATTTTAACGCCTAAAAAAAATTTAAATTTATCAACATATTTTTGTATACTCCTTATATTTAAATGAAGGATGGAAAGTGCATTATCATCTATTTTGCAGTGAGCGTTACAACGTTTGAACTGTAATAACTGTAAACTTATATTTTCCATCCTTCTTCATCCTTATAAAAGCTAATATTTGTTTTCTAAAAGTATGTTTTTGTTTATTAACTTTATTTATGTCATCATTGGATGTGTTATTTTTAGCATTTAAAGTTAGATAATAAGTTTGTTTTCATTTTGAAACGAGAACTTAAGCAATAAAAGTAAAATAAAAATATAAATCTGTTTTCTTTGGGAGTCGCCAATGATTATTTTATTGTATGATACGACTGCTTATTTTCCGCCTTCTCGAAGCTTCTTTCTTATAATTGTAGTTTTAGCACAGTAGTCTCCATTTGTATAAATAATTTTTCCTTTTAACCTTAAAATGCCTACTTTGTCTTTATAGTTTAGTAGCTTAACGGCTATTGTTCGAATTTTGTGTGTGTTTCTATGTCCGGTTCTATGTCCGGTTCTGTGACCTCTCTTGAGTTTTATACTCTTTAAACCAAGTTTTTCAAAGAGTTTCAGCTTCTTGGATTTGCTGATACTCCAATTTTTATTTTCGTTTTTTTTTTTTTTTACACCTTCTATTCAAAGGTTGTTTCTTCGTGAGCGATTTTCAATTTCTCTAAGTTTACTTTTTATTTTAAATATTTCGCTATTGTCTTTCATTTTACTGGTAAACTTTTTTGCTTTTTCTTACAAATTCAAATTTATCCGTAATGATCTTTTAGTTAGTATGAAGAGATTTGATAATATCGATAATATTCTAACTTCTTTTTTTTTTTTTGCCACACTATAGTGATTTTAAGTTAATATTGCATTTTTGTTGAAAATTTCTGGAAATTTTTCAAAAAATTTTGCTCAAAATTTTTTTATTTCATCCGTTTTTCTACGGGAAAGGGAAAGGGAACGGAAAAATAATCGCGTGAGCAAGCGCAGTTTTCTTTCGGACAAAAAAAAACTTTTATAACGCATGCTCACGTGATTATTTTTTCCTTTCCTATCCCGTTCCCGTTGAAAAACGGATAAGTGGAAACTCGCTATAATATAGTTTTATAAAATCCATTTCTTTGTTTCAAAAATATGCGTTTTATCATCGTAGTATTTGGGTATACTTTAATTATTTCAACCAAAAACAAAAAATAATAAAGACCCACAAGCGAAAAATGATTATCTTTTGCTCAAAATTTTATTAACAAATTTATTTTTCTATTAATTTTATTTTGTTGTAAATTTATTTGCCTTTAATAAAAGAAATAAAAATTACAGAACAGCTTTATTACAAATATAATCGGCAGGACTTCCAGAAGATCATAATCAAGTTTATCAATCTAAGAATCGCGCATTAAAAAAAAACAAGCAATAAAACTATTATTACATTCTTACTTAAACAAAGTCTTAGGGAAATTGTAAACTTTTTTGTATATTTATATTTTTTTACGGCCATTTTTTGATTTATGTTTATATTATTCTTCTGTTTGTTTTTTTTGTATATGTATTCGATGGACTTCTTTGTTAACAGATTTTATTTTTTACGGCATTTTATGTATCCTTGTAAAATTATAAAGGCATTAGCTAGATGACGAAATAAAATACAATACAAAAAAACAATAAAGCACTCAAGTTGATATATGTTACTTTTACGCATATTAATTTTGTGAAGAAAAAGTAGATGTTTTCCGAGTTAACTTGTCTTTTAAGCTTGTATGTATCATATTTTTACTTCTTCTTTTATTTATTTACTTTTTATCTTTTACTTCTTTCAACTACGATCTAAAATATTCACAAAATACGAAGAATAAAATCTTTTTTAGATTAAAAAATTTTGTTGCGTATTATTTTATAGTGTTCTGAGGAAAAAAAGATGTTTTTACGTTTAAAGATTAGGGTTACCAGATGTCCGGCTTTTACGAAGGAGAACACACTAAAAAAAAATATTTTTACAGTTTCGGCGCTGTATTCTCCTCCGTATAAGCCGAACGTCTGGCAACCCTAGTAAAGATTGGATATAAAATTTAAAAAAAGATATGAAGATTTTTATGTATAAAGATTGTTTTTAAAACATTTTTATAAATGGTACATGTTATAAATAAACTAGCTGTGTTAGATAAATTTATCTGAAAATGACATTTGAAAACACATTTGATTTGAATGTTCGTTAAAATAATAATAAATTAAATTGCTTAGTATGATACTTGTAAAACACACACACATACAGTATCGGACGAAACAAGTGCAACCAAAAAATGCTAATTTAGTTTCTTTATATAAAAGTGCTGCATTTTTTCAATTTAGAGAAATAACTATGTAACTGTTTAGAGACAACGTTCTTCAAGTTTTATCACAAAGTTCATTATTTGTACACGAAAATTAATAAATGAATCAAAAGTATTAAAAAAAGTTGATTTCCTTCTGGAAAAAACAAGTGCAACTCCACAAAATGTTGTATTTCGCTATCAATATTTCGTGGCGAATTCTTTGTTATTGATCACAGCCTTGCATCTTCGAGGCATAGATTCGATCAGGTGAAACTTTGTGGAATCGCTGCTCAGGCCTTTTGGGTTTGTTCAAACAGTTGATCCTTATAACGAACACCTTCACGATTAATTCTGCGGTTGACGATCTCCCACAGGTTCTCGATAGGGTTGAGATCTGGAGATTGAGGCTGCCAATCCATCACTGATAGGTGATTATCTTGAAACCACTGCTTGACTACTTTTGCAGTGTGTTTCGGATTGTTGTCTTGCTAAAAAACCCATTTTATTGGCATATTCCATTCCATGAGGTAACATAACATCTTTCAGGATATTTTTATACATGAAACGGTCCATTATTCCATCGATTCGATGTATTGGACATAGACCGTTAGCAGAAAAACACCCCAGACCATTACATTGCCTCCACCATGTTTCACGGTCTTATGGCAGTAACGTAAATCGAGGCATTTTCCGGCCGGTCGACATACACAGCAAATGCCATCGCTCCCAATGATGTTGAACTTCGATTCATCCCTGAACAAAACAGTTCGCCATTTCTGTACATTCCAGTCAATTTAAGATGTAGCAAACAAGAGTCTTTTCTTCTGGTTCTTTAGTGAAATCAGCGGTTTCTTTGCAGGGCGTCGAGAAAACAATCCGGCTTCAACAGCACGTCGTCTGATTGTTCGGTCTGATACAGACAGCTCTAATTGCTTTTGTATCTCGACTGATGATATCCAGGGATCTTTCTTGACGGATCTGACGATCATAGAATTCTCTCTAGAAGTGGTGGAAAGTGGTCTTCTACCTTTGTTATCTGCTGCCAACTTCCCGTAGAACGACATTTGAAACATAGTCTTGATGCGGTCCATTTTTTCACGCGATATTTATCACAAATACTTTTTTCAGACATTCCACTTACATAATCGCTAATAATTTTCTTTCTTAGTTCCAATCCAAGACTGTCGGGAGCCATTTTTGCACTTGAAGTCATAAAAATAATAAAAATAAATAATCACGCTTCTCAAGGCTTACCGTGTTACATTTACCTTGTGATAATACAATAATGCTCTGTGAAACACAAAGTCTTGGTTGAATGTGGACTGTATTAATGTAATGAAACACTTGTTGTATTTCACTTCTTGTATTAATGTTCTTCAATAAAACACTTTGATAAAACTCACTTCGATAAACTGTCTTGATAATACTGACTGATTAACTTCCACATACTGACTGAATTACATGTCGGTTTACATGTCTCTTATATAATAAAATAAACCTGCGTGAACCTGTTCTGGAAGATTCTAGATGCTTCTTTTCGATGCTTCTGAATGTTTCTGGATACTTCCAGATGCTTCTTTTGGAAACTTCTGGATACTTTCATAATTTTAAAAAACTTGTAAGTCTGGTCCGTGACGTTGACACGGACCAGACTTAAGAAAATGAAACAAACCAAAAAAGTTGCACTTGTTTTGTCCGCTGCAAAATGGCACTTGTCAACGAAATTCTGCCTGTGTGCTGTCACCTGATTGCTCATGGCATGGCATGCTATGACTCCAGACTCCTGAACTGTTTGATGTGGTAGTATAGTTCGTTTCGTTTTTAAGACATGTAAAATTAGGAACACTTTTTAGCATTGTTTGATGTTGGTTGCAAATGTTTTGTCCAATTATGTATTTCTTCAGTGGAATAAATATTATATCATTTTTTTGGCACATTTTCATAATGATTTTCTTATAACACTCTAAATTATCAAAAGTTCTTTAAAGATTTTCTCATTTGTTATCACCTCATTCAAGATGAATCGTTTTCGTTTGACGTCAGAGCGACTTAATGGATATAATAATAATATATTGCATGAATTATATATCGGAAGAATAGATTTTTAAAATTGGTATCATGTTTAGGATAGCGATATTAATTTATACAATTTTGCACGGAACTATGGGGTGAAAAAAATCATTAAACAGACTAATTAACTCAAAGAAGTTCACAGAATTATAGACATTATATTTAAAATCGTTTTGTATTTTGTAAAATTTTGCAACCCTTTCCCTAAAAATTTTCTTTCAGGAGGAGGGGGTACAAAGTTGTTGCGTAATATTAGGGGTGGGGGTCAATAAAGTGTTACGAATGCATTACGAGAAGGGGTGGCGGAGGAGGAGGGAAGGGTCAAAAACTGCGTGACGCAACATTTATGGACAACTCCTTTGATAAAAAAATCATGCTGAAGGATATGTTAAACACCCCTGAAGCAAGTATTGCCTTGGTATTTTCATGTTTGCTAATGACAAAACCATTCAGCTGGTGACGGCACCCTCTGCTCATCTCTAGGACAAACAGAACGATCATCTATAACAAACTAGATATCGAAAGATATCTAGGATGTTAAGCATCACGCTCAGGTACCACCACTCCTGCTCATCATCATGGTTTGGTGGGTTGTCTTTGTAGAATTACAATGACAGGACGCATACTATAGAAATGATCCTAGTTAGTACGGTCTTAAATTAAAATAAAAAATTCAAAAAGACTTTCCTTTTTAAACTCTGTTTTAATTGTGGGTTTTTAATAACAGGATTTATTTATCTTTTCTATAATCTTATTTATAATCTTTTTATTTTCAAATCTGCATAATTTTGTTGTAAATAAAATTGAATATAATTAAAACAAATGTTTACATTACCGAGATAAAAAAGAAGACAAAATTAGTCTAGTATAACTGATGAGTTAGTTTTTTTCTACATAACTTGTGCTACAACTGATGAGTTGGTTTTTATCTACATTTCTGCAGTATACTAAATGAATTGACGTTTTTTTAATGACGTAGATTTCGTTACTCGAATATTCATAAAAGTTTTATATTAATTTACGTAAAAATGATATATATATATATATATATATATATATATATATATATATATATATATATATATATATATATATATATATATATATAATGTTCTGAAATAAGGTTTTAGCATTTTAAAGACCTTTATAAATAATAGTACAACCAGTGCTGTGGCTAGTGGGTCAGAGACCCATCAAATAGCCTGTAATTAGGTATTTACTCAGAGCCGTGGCTCTGAGTAAATACCTAATATTAAATACGATGAAAATACAACTAATATTAAATACGATAAAAATAATAATAAAAATTAAAACAACAACAAAAAAAACAACAATAATATAAGTAGTAAAAACCACAACAACAACAATAATATTAGTAACAACAAAAGCAACAACAAAAATAACAATTAGTCTATATTTTAATAAGAAGTTGAATAAAATAGTTTTAAAGGTTGAAAATGAATAGGGAGGCGGGGGGGGGGGGGGTGAATAGGTTGAAAATGAATAGGTTGAAAATGAATAGGGGGGCTTTTAGTTTATAAGGATGTTTGTTCCACCATTCATATATAGGAAAATAAAAAAAAAAAGTTCGGTCTCGATAGTTAGTTGATGTATTAAATAACTTTCAGTCACTTTTTCATAATCAGCGTATTGTTTACGCTAGCCCTAGAACACCTCAGAATTTAGACAAAATGCTGACATAATCGAAATAAGTTAAATGCTAACATAATCGAAATAAGTTATCATACGTTAAATTCATTATGATAAATAAAGTCATTTCAATAAATTTAAGGCTTTATCAATTTATTTGTTTTAATATTCAATTTTTAAGTATTACAAAACATCAGCGGTAAACTTCATTTATTTAATTAAATTCATTAATTATTAATCGATTTCTTATGCATATTTATATATATGCATTCCAGTCACTGAACATATAATCTATACAATTTTTTTTTCTCTTTCTAAAAATATAAAATATTTAAAAATTTATAAAACATTTAAAAATAATCAGTTAAAGTTTCCACAAATAAAAAAAATAAAATAAAAAATAAATAGAAAAAAAAAAAGAAAAATTAAAAAATCGTCATTAAAAATTATTGCTGCATTAAAAAAACCGACTATGTGCATAATTAAAATGTGCATAATTAACTTCATATATCCCATACTTGACAGTAATCGCTGTTTACTGAGTTTGTAGTGCTTTTTCCATAGTTCGTTTCCTTATTAATATCATTTTTGGTCACTAAAGCGTTTATGTAGTCAGCAACCAAATAAGTCAAATCCAAAACCTGGGTCAAGATATAAAAATTATTTTTCATCACTTTTTAGCATTATGTTAATGTAAACATAGTAATCATTTTTCAGAGTTTAACCATAGTATTAAATATTGTTGAATTTAATTTATTATTTAAATAGATATTTTATATTACTATTTTTTTATTTTTAGTTTATTAATTTCAATACTTTTATAGCATGATAGTTTTAGTTAATGATTTTTTTTAATTCAGTATATATGTTAGTTAGTTTCAGAGTTTCAGACTTAATTACAGACAGTTTCAGTTTTTACTAAATTAGATATTTTTTAAGATTTTTTTTAACTCTCTATAAATAAAATCATTTATTAAAAAAAATGTAATCGTAAAAACTACATTTTGTTTTACAAAATAAATGATTTTATTTATGGATTTTTTTTTTCATTATGGAAAAACCTTAAAAACTATCTAATTGAGTAAAAACTTTAAGTCAGTTTTTACTCATTAGATACGTATGTTCCAGCACGCATATTCTTGCTTAATTTAGCAAGAATAGCGTAAGAATTTGTTAAGAGAAGCACGTGCAAAAATAAACAATAACCCCACAGTTGAAGTACATAAACATTACATGAAATTAAATTGCACGCTGGTTGCAAAGATTTCTTTGACGTCAAAGAAAAAAAACTTATTAACTGTTTATGCAACCAATGAAACGTTCGTATTACGCGAACAATAAGAACAATGCAATGTAGATTATATTGAACAACTTAAAATAACAAATCTCAAAGCGCCTTTCAAGAAACTTCTGCATAGCAAGTATTGCGCAAAGATTAAAGAGCTTTGCGTATGTATAAATCTTATTTGTACAAAAAAACAACAACAAAAAAAACAACGCGCAACAAAATTCTTAAAATGGCGACACATAACCATGTTGATGAGCGAATAAAAATGTCCAGTTCACCTTATCACGAAACTAGTAGAGGTAGCTTCTTATTGAGTTATTATCTTGAAAAGCAATATCATTCAACGTTTAAAAAACATATAAAAAATGTTAGGAAAAAAAAATCAGGAGTTCCGATTTATGTTCATACAAGTTGAAAAAAAGACTATACAGAGTTATTTGTTTTCATTAAAGAGTTAATATAACTTTAAAAGTTAATTTAGCTTTATGAATGTAGTATGTTGGTAATATGGAGGTAACATCGCTATTTTTTAGATTATGAAGGTAGTATGTTGGTAATATGGAGGTAACATCGCTAGTGATATAACTTTTAAGAGTTAATAAAACGTTTGAAAGTTAATCTAACTTTAATAAAAGTTGATTATAGGAAGTTAATATAACTTTGATAAGTTTATAGTTAATAGTTCTCCATTTTTTTGTAGGAAATGATTTTGACGGCTTAGTGTCTCCTTCAAGTTCCGATGACGGCAGTAACCAAGAAAAAAGCATAGCAACAATAAGCAAATTTGATTTGAGTCAACGACGAGAATGGACTGACGAAGAATGCGTAAAGCTAATGAGTTTATGGAGAGAAAGTGAAATTTTGTACAATAACGAGCATCCAAATTACTATTCGCAGAATGAAAGAAAGATTGCTATGGAGCAGATCGCCAATGAACTTAATATTAGTGTTAAAGACATTACCGATAAAATGCACAGTCTTCGAACTTATTACGGCTCACAGAGACAAAGAATTGAGGCTAAAGAGCTAGCCAATCCAAACACGCCATACGTTTCTCGATGGAAATATTATAATAACATGTCATTTTTACGAGATTCTCTTGTAAATCGAGCAAATAAAAGTAACCTCCGCAAAAGTCGTAGAAATGTTCAAATGTCATACGTAAACCCTCACGATGAGCACGAAAAAAACTCCGAAAATCAGTTAAATGATAACATCGGAGATCCCACAATCTATGTGACCAAAATTCAACCGTTAGAATTCAAAACAGATGAATCGAGAAAGCGTCGCTTTGACATGGCTAAAAACGATGACGACGATGAAGAAAGCATATACCAAGAAAAGCATATACCTAGCATTGACCAAATAAGTAAAAGCGACCAACTGTTCGGAGAAATGATCGTGAATTCTTTACAACATTTTCACGACGAACAACAAAAAGAACTTTTAAAATTAGAAATTCAAACTTTAATCTATAACACGCGGTTTAGTAAACATTAAAATAATTTTTAAAACACAAAATTTAATAAAACAAATTTAAAAAAGGCTTTTTGACAGTTGGATTGGCCATAGTGAGGTCACATCGTCCGGGGGCCCGGATTAGTACAAGAAAAAATTTGAATTTTAAAGTGTTACACTTGCCTACTTATTTATATTAGTTTTAGCTTTGTTAATCAAAACACATTTTTAACGTTAAAATCAACTTAAAAGTTCAAATGTCTACCGCATCGTTTTGGAAACGTCACTTTTTTTTCCTTCTAAAAATCAATCACGACGGCTTGCGTTGTTAAAAAATTATATTGTTTGTGAAAAATTTTTCAAGATCGACTTCGAAGCAGTAATCGGGCTAAAATAATCCGCAAAACATTTCGACAAATTCGTAATTTGAGGTCTCTCGAATTCAAATTTTGTCAAATTTGAGATCTAGATTTGAATTTGATTTTTAGATTTGAATTTGATTTTTAATTGCGAGTTCAGATTAATTGCATACAAATTTGACAAAATTTGAAATTCAAATTAAGTTTCAAATTTTATCAAATTTGGAATTGGATTTATAATTGAGTCTATAGTCTACAGTTATTTAATCAATTATAAAATAAAGCTTTGAAATTTAAAAAAATCTAAAATATGATTGGCTAATTTTATTTTCGCGCGCAGAACTTTGCTTTTATTGGTTTATATTTAACTAATATTTTTCAAAAATAGGAAGTAAGCGATTAAAAATGTTATTTAATGAAATCATTAGCGTAAAATTCTTCTAAGTTAAGTAAAACAACTTTTAAAAGCATTTAAACAAGAATTCCTTTATGCATAAATAATGTCCAAGAGAATTGTAGTGTTGCAATCGATACTACTTGTCCAAAGAATACTATGCAAATCGTTTATAATTGTCCAAAGGAAATCGTATGTATCATTACAATATAAATAAATGCAATACTTATAATTTCACTACATCTTGAATGGAAAATATGCGTTTGAAGTCAGCATGGTTAAAAAAACTCACAAATTATGATCTTATTTAGCTCTTAAATTCAAGCTCTCAACAAAGAAGACAAGAGTCATCCCAAGGTCACTTGTAAAATCGAAATGCAAGCAGGAACAGGACCTTTTTCAAAAAGTTCTGTTCACACCTACTTAGTGGGCACCGTACCTAAAAAAGACGTCTAAAACGTTCAAAAGACGTCCAAAACGTTTATAAGACGTTTAAAAACGTCTTTTTTACGTCCGTGCACACTCGGTAACTCCAATACCATCTTGCTGAGGATTTATAATCCATCCAGACCAGGTAAGAGTAGTTATTTCATTTAAGGCAACATAGCGTTGAAAAAGACTGGATGATACTAAGAAACTTGGTAAGTTATAGAACTAAGTGGAAAAGAGAACATCTAATAGGAAAAGAGACTGACCTGTTAACTCAGATTCAACTCTTTCTATTTTGGAACTGATTTGTTGGTTCACCGGGTAAAATCAAATTTTAATTTAACTAAATCTAATTTTAAAGTAAAAAAGCATTTTTTTTTACCAAAATTTTATTTTAATGATTACAATTTTTCTTTTTTAACAATTTTAACAAATTTAATATCATTTGGTATCATTCAATTATTCAAATAAAGTGTCGTTTACCCCAACAGAAGATAACCAAAAAGATTTTGGACGTCTCCAGATGGTGGAAGGGTTTAAAATGTCAGATCACCAGTCCAACTGAAACTTGATTTAACTGTAATGAAGTACTTAACACGCAGTAATCTTGCCTTCAACCATATTAATGAGGCATCATCTTAGGACTTTGACCCGGAATTCCACGTGTCAGCCATAAAACGTGGAATTCTGGATCATGTTAGATCAAAGCTTCCTCTTATCAACCGATTGATAAAGAAGGTAGTGATCAACAAAGCTGTAACAGATCTAAAAAACAATACTGATGAAGTGGCTTTTAAAATGATTTGTGGCCATCAAAGTATACCATTTAAAAAAAGTGAATATTACGTTAAAATTAGTATTTTTTTCCGGATAGGAGGAATAACCTAAAAGCAAAAAAAAAAAAAAAAAACAACTAAATAAAATCTAATATAAAATAAAATTTAATTAAATCTTGTTTTTTGTTTAAAAACTTTGATCCATACCTTGGCTTGACATTTCACTATATATTAAAGAAATGAACTCTGGAGAAGCTGTTGGTGTATTGTGGAAGTGCATAAGGTCGACATACATCTTAAAACATTGTTTAAGTCTTTTACAATGCAATTAGTGTGATTGCAGGTCTTCCATCCAATGTCCATAAGACCTGAAAAAGTGATAATGCAGCAAATATGCTAGCAGCCAAGCAAAACTGACAGGGAATTCAGGAGGGTCTTGAGTATGTGAACTAACTACTTAATCTTGTGCTGATTGAGTGTCTTGGCATCCCCGAAGTTAAAAATGCCGATTACCCATTTAAGAAATTTTCATCTACAACTCACAAAAGCAGCATTGTATAACAGGAATAAGTAGAGAGCGTGTTAAGATAAACAATCAATGTAAGGATGATTGAAATATTAAAATTGGTAATTGATTTTTTTAAATTTCCTAAATTTTTTGATTAAAATTTTTAATTTCGAATATGCAGTTATTATATATAGTATACTAATTTGAGTATAACATTACTTGTCATAATTATAAAATATGGCCAAAAAACAACAACAACGAATAACACGGTGTTGTATTAGTTAGATGATAAAATGAGATAAATCTGATGGTCTATCAAAAGTCTGATAGACCAAAAGCAGATATCATCGAACATGGAGTTTTGGATAAATATTTTCCAAAAATTTGTTTTATTAAAATTTATTAAAATTCGTTGTTCTTTATAATTTCTAATATTGACATTTTTTTGAGGAACCCTGAGCTGTAGGGAGCCCAAAATTTTCAGAAGAGTTTTACAAAACTTCAACAAAGTATGGAACAGTTGAGAGGTTATAGCTATTATTCTACTAAACTAGATGCGTTATTGCGAACATTGGTTATTTTATTAATTGGAGACCGGCAAGGCTTTTATAAAAAATTAAAAGGTCACGAAAAAAGTCAGAATCATATGCAATCATGTTGTACATATGATAAGTGGAGGCAAAATGAAACAATTGATTAAAGCTTAGAAGCGAAAATTCGATATGAATCAAAATTTTGGATACAAGTGTTAGAGCGACTTGTTAATATAACATTAGTACTTTCTAAAAATTGTTTAACTTTCCATAGTCATTGCGAATCATTTGTGGATGAATATAATAGTAATTTGTTAACAAGTACATCTTTTATCAAAATATGACACTGTTATGAAACATGTTTTGAACATGCCCCATGGAACTATTAAATATATAAGCCATCAAATCTAGAATGAAATTATCGATTGTCTTGCTACACGTTTAAAGACAACGTTAATCAACAATATTAACATTGCTCCTTTTTATACAAATATCATGGATAGCTCGCAAGATATAGCAAAAAAAAAAAGCCATCTAAGTCAAGTATTTAGATATGTAGAAATAATAAAAAATGAAAAATAGGAACCAACGTTAATTGAAATTAAAAAAAGTTTTTTTGAGCTTTACGGAAGTACACAGCCACACAGCTCATGGAGTATATAAAGAAACGCTAAATTTGCTTGAAAAGAATAATATAACATTAAATAAATGTAAAGGACAAGCTTGCGATGGAGCAAATCTTACGCGTGGGGTTTACAATGGTTTTCAGTTATTGCAACTCTAGAAAGAGGTATTCCATGAGGAAGTGGGACAGGCGTGTAACCCACCATCTCAGCTTTTTTTCATACTTTGTAAAAATGGTCACCTATATAACATAGACTACCTTTTTAGACTAAATTTTAGCACTGATATCAAATAAGTTTGGGAGATTTTGTTACTTTAAAATCAGCTATTTTTAGCTGTTTTTTTTTTGTTTTGCGGCCATTTTGATTTTACTATAGTTTTTGTTTTACAAGTTACTGTTCAACTAAACTGAATGTAATTAAGCTGAATATTAGCACCAGTATATTTTTTAGAACGAGGAATCACAATATGATATTTGTTTTCAATGAAAATATTTAAAACTATACCAATATGGGGATTGTATTTCACCTCTAGTTATTTTTGAAATTTTAACTAAGGTGGAAAGGAGGCCTGGTAACCTTAGTAGCATTAACTTTTTGTGAATTTTTTTTTTTTATTAAAAAAGATATTTTAATTAGTGTTTTAGTACAAAATTGAGAGGTGGGTTTTTTAAAATTTGTTGTAAAATTATAGGAGTATTATGTGAAAAAATAAGTATTATAGGTCTGTGCTCATGATTTCTTTTTAAATTAATTGACATTGACAATTTTTATTAGTCATCAAAAACTATACAAAAGAAAACTCAATTAACCTATCATTTATAAAAACTTTAATTCAAATGAATATTTCTTTTTTAAATAATCTTATGTTTTTTAATTAATGACATATTATTTCATCTTTTACTAAAACAAAAGAAACACTCAATATTAAAACACTAAGACTTTGTATTAGTCTGGCATTTTACCAGCTGTTGTTTGTTTTCTGTTAATCTTTAAAATAAAAAAACAAGTTATAATCAAAATTAAAAAATAATAAATATTTAATATCATATTTAAAAATACTAACCATAAAAGTTTTCTACATTTTTAATAAATGTATATAGTTCTGTGTGTTTATTTATAGTTAAATAAAAAATTAAAAAAATAAAATGAAAAAGATTTTGTGTACAGTTGGTATTTTATCAAATGATCTATGTGTACACTAAATCAACTAGATTAAATTAAGCTATTCAGATAGAAATTTAGATAGAAATTTATTATTATGGAGATCTGGGCTATCAATATTAAACGTTAATGTTAAAATCTGTTTACATCATGAGTAACTTTTACTTAACTGGTTTGCAACTCCCAAAAAAAATTCCATTGACATATTTAAAGGGCATAAAACTAATATAAAACGTAAATGTTTATGTTTTTAACTTATTGTGCTGTCTTTTTACAAAAAATACATCTAATACACTTTCAACTAGTTTTAAAAATTTTAAATTTTATTTCTAAAATTATTAAATTATATAAATTATTATTTCCTAATTTTGGCAAATTTTTTTCATTTATAATATATTTATAGGTGGTTACGAGAAATTAATATTCAACAGGCAAAAGATACGTGTTCAATTGGTATTGAAACAATACCTGATTTTAAAATGTGTCCTTCATATCGAAAAAAAGTTGCAAAAAAATAGATGATTGGTCTACCTTACAGGACTACAATGGTGAAGATGATTTTCTGGAACAAACATTTTTTGATGAAGATATATAAATTGCACAAGAAAAAGAACTTATAAACACCAGTTTTGATAAATAAGATGTATCACCAATAAGATTTCATGGGGTTTCACAACATACTAAATTTTCTCTAGGGAAAAGAAAATTAATGCAAGTTACTGATGTTTTGTCAAAAAAGCTATCAGTTATCCTTAATATTAACCCAACAGGTTTGAAAAATGACGTTACTGAGGAGCTTAGTGTTGAACAAGAGAAGAAAGCTGAAGATCTAGATAAACTGATACTTTCAATGCAAGAAAGATTGAAAATGGCAAAAAGAAGAGAAAAGATTTAGACTTTGACATTGGTTCCAGATTCAATATCTTTAAGGAAAGCAGCTAAAGTATTTAATATATCAAAGTCAACCATAGAGCAAGAAAACTTGAATTTGAAAAAGGAATTTTGATAATTCCAGAAAAAACTAACTTTTTAGAATTGAATCAGATGTCATTGATAAGGTGGAAAGCTTCTTTTGTAATGATCAGTTCAGTTGGCAGTTGCCAGGTATAAAAGATTTTATAAGTGTATCCAAAAATAAACATGTATCAAAGCGATTACTTATTTGCAATTTAAAGGAATTATGTATTGAATTCAAACTAAAGCACCCTCAATCCAAAATAGGATTTTATAAATTTGCTCAGTTAAAATTAAAATGGTGTATTTATACTGATCAAAAAGGAACCTATGCTGTTTGTATATGTTTGTATATATACACCTAAACCTAAAGCTTATGCTTGGCGCAGTTAAACTGGAGAAGAACTACCATGAACTTATTGAGAATATTGTTTGCAGTAGAGAGTCAAGAGAATGCATGGTCCATAGATGTAATCGTTGCCCTGGAATTCAAAATATTATCAATTATATAACTGCAAATCTATTGAAAAATGAAAGATAGTTTGAAGAAAATGACAAAGTTGATAAAGATGAAATAATTGAATACAAACAGTGGAGTACAACAGATAGAGCAGAGCTTCTAAGTTACATATCTACAGTAGGTGAATTCATTGAAAGTCTTAGTCACAAACTTTATACCATAACATCTCACTCTTATAGTGCTAAAGCACAAGGTAAATAATTAAATAAAGTCATCTATACCCATTGACGAAATTATTGTTTTGGTTGATTTTGCAGAAAACTTTATATTTGTCATACAAGACGAAATTCAGAGTTACTACTGGAACCGAAAGCAATGCACACTACATCCTGTAGTTATTTATAACAAAAATAATGAGGGCGCTACTAAAAATCAACCAAAATCTTTATGTTTTATATCTGATGACTTAACAAATGACGTTGGATTTATTTATTGTATAGTAAAAAATAGTCCAATTTGTACAATGTTTTAATACCAGAAAAATCCAGTATTTCTCTGATAGTTGTGCTGGCCAGTGCAAAATTTCAAAACATTTTTTTCAAATTATGCCATCATGTTGAAGGTTTTGGGATGCAATGTGAATGGAATATCTGAGCAACATCACATGGAAAGTCACTATGTGATGGCATTGGTGGAACTGTTAAAAGACTTGTTTCAAGCGCTAGTCACCAACGTCTAATCGACTTATAAATTCAGAACGCTATAAAACACGAAACCTAGTGTTATGTTTTTTAAAAATATAACAGATATTTTTTAAACAGTGTATACTAAAAATAAAATAATTTTTTATATAGATAAGCAACTATTGTAATGTATTAGAAAAAATTCAATTCAATTATGAATGCTGATTATACAAATTTATGCATGTCTAATGTCTAGTGAATTAGTCAGTTATATGTAAGTATTAGTATAAAACTGAAAAAAGTAAATAACTGATTCAAAGCGAAGAAACTGTCAATTTATGTAAATTAAACTTAATATAGATTACTTCATAAAAAAACACAAGAAAATTTACCACTTAAATTACTTGATTTGATAATAAATGATGAAAAAAATTATTATCAAAAACCGATTGTAATTGCCGACCTGATGCTGACCTCTAAAAGATTGAGGTCGGCAAATTATTGCGGACCTTATTTTCCTAATTCGGAGGTTGTACATACGTACATACATACATATAATGCCATCATTATTTCTGTATTTTTTCAGTAATGTTATAAATTTTTCACACATTGATTTACAAATTTCAGGTTGAAAACTAACAAATAAATTTGATTTATTGAATATTCTGAAACAAGAATGGGGAAAACCAAAATTATTTTGATTATGAAGCTGATGAACTCAATGCTTTATCACTGTCAAGCAATAATTAATGCTAAGGGCTTCCCGACAAAGTACTAAAATATATAAAATTATATATATATATATATATATATATATATATATATATATATATATATATATATATATATATATATATATATATATATATATATATATATATATATATATATATATATATATATATATATATATATATATATATATATATATATATGTTTATAATTATAATAATTGTAAAATATTTTAAACAGAAAAAAACAAACAAAGAAAAACAAACTTTAAATTAAAAACTTAAAAAAAAAAATAATAATAAAATTTATATAGTAAAATCAACATGTTATAAACAAAGTTAACTTTTTTTTAGCTTTGTTTAGTTTGCTATGACTATTACCCAGTCTCCTTTAGCCTTCTTTACTTTTAAAAAACATTAATTACCTGATGTGGAGGCATGGCAAATAAACGCTTTACTGTTTCAGGTTTTTCTTGCTGTTGTACAACAAGCATAAAATCTTGTTTATAACCACCAAAAGTAACCACTTGTGACCAATCGTAACTGTTTATAATCTCCTAAATTTGTATGTTTAAGTCACCAAAATAAATACATTTGTAAAAAAAAAAAAAAAGTGTTTCAATATTTAACTAGTTCTTTAGAAAGTTAAGGAAACTAGTTAAAATTTTAGTGAGGAAGTCATGTCTTTTTTTAAAAAACTTATTCAGTCCTAACAAGGCTTCAAACAAACACTATTGAGTTAAGAGTTAACTAGAAACAAAAAATAGTTTTAACAAGCAAGGAAGCGCTCGGCAGAAGACTTGAAAAATTGTAGGTTGTTTTTTGGATTTTGTCTAGAAGAAAAAGAACATCATTGGAATAACCGACCCAAATATGACAACAATATTCTATATAGGGACAAATAAGAGATTACCTGTACCTTGTAGAGTTACCTCTACAAGGTACAGGTAAAGATATTTATAAAGGTAAAAATACATACTTAGAGAGGAAAAGATACAAAAGAATACAATCAGGAGTTAAGAAAATAGCAACCATCATAAAAAGAAGCAACATCAGCAGATGCTTACTTTGTTATGGATTATATAGTTTTCATGAGGCCAGTAGTAAACGATAATCCAAGAAGATGTATGAAATAAAAATGGAGTACAGTTTTGCAAGACAGAAATATCATCTGTACAAGGAGTAGAAGAGATTAATTAAAAAATGAATTTAACAATAAAAGCCAGAGTAATTTGAATGTCTAAAAATGGATTAACCTGTTTATGGAGTAATGGATTAACTGGAATGCCAGAGAATGGCTATTAGATTTAAGACTAGAATTAGAGAAACAATTTTCTTCGCAAATAATTTTGTCTCATCCTTGGAAGAAGTAATATGATCATATCCATGAATTTAAGATGGAATGGTGGACTTACCTTTGTTAATAATACTGTTAAACATTTTCCTGTCTTTAGAACCTAACTTATGAAATAAGATACGAGATTTATTAAACTGAGAATATTGAAGTCACTTTTTTTATTTATTATATTTTACTATTTCATTTTTTTATTATTACATTTCTTGTAAAAATATAAAAAAGGTCTGTCCTCAACAGAGTTCTTCTTAGGAAAAACATAAAAAAAATGTTTATGATAAGTTATAATGGCTGCACAAGAAAAGACTTGACTTAAAACTGACAAGAAAGAACAAAAACTTCAATTGGTATTGAAGGATCCAGGAGGTTATGTAGAAGGCTCATTTATCAATGGAGAGACAAAAGACATAAGCCTAAGGACCATCACAAAGAAAACCATGAAAAGAATCCCACTTAGATTTAGAGTAGTAGTAGGTAGTACGATCATAGGGTTAGTCCAAAGAAGAAGTAAAAGATAAAAGATTTATAGACACCATATCGCAAACTGTTGATACCATCTAGTTTAACTCTCATAACAAATGCACATATGGATGAGGCTAGCAAATAAAGTAAAACACAAGCTGTATAACTTTATTTTATGTAATAAATATAAATACACAAATTAAAAATTATAACTGGTTAAGTGAATATGAAACAGTTACTGGCTCTATTGTCAAATACTAAATCTAGTGTATAATGAGGCAAAACTCTAAAACACCCATTTTATGATGCAAACAACCTGTTGCTAGGGGCTAATTCCTTATGTACTATATGTTTCAGTGAAAAAAAAATATTTTTTATTCCTGAGATATGATTTTTGAAAGTTTGATTGACTTAGACAACATTAAATTTACTTTTTAACAACCTATCATAAACTTGGATTTCGTTACTGATTTCCTTATCTACCCCAACTGCATATGCATCTTATAGACAACTACATACCTTATTCTTGGAAAGTATTTGAATTTGCATTTCATATAGTGCAATCCAAACATCTACTGAATTGTTATTAGAAGTAGATTGAAGTAGCTTCTCCTGAAAAAAATAATACACATTTATACGTGAACATATTTACACAGAGTGAGAGTTTTAGAAAATTAAAAATATTCTAGATAAAATAATTCTTGATTGGTACTTTTTTATATAGTACCAGACACTTTTACTTCAATTTTTTTAAATATAATTCTAACAAATAAATATAGTTTACGTTTTAGTATTCTATTGTTTTGCTCAAGTACAACCAAGTATTTGATTGTTTTGCTCATGCACAAACACACATTTATTTTATTTAAAAATATATAGCTGCAATTATAAATTGGTCTGTAAAGTATAGCTGCAATTATAAATTGGTCTGTAAAGTACCACAAGAGTTAATAATAAAGAGAAAAAACAAACAAAAAAAAACAGAAAAAACGACCATTAACTACATAAGAATTATAATTCTAAAATGAAAAATAATTCTATACCTCTAACAATCAGAAAACAATTTAAACTTTAAATTTCACCTAATTTTTGCATGGTTACAAAATTTGTCATCATGCTCATCAATCATCATAGTCAATTCTTTAACTATAGAATTCCATTATTGTTCAAATTTTCAATTATTTTACCACAGATGCACAGGATGGAGAATTTAGTGTGTTTTAACTTTTGAAAATATATGAAATAATTATCCATTAAAATACATAAATTCATTTTGACTGGCTAAATACAACATGAATATTGCATCATGCTAAATCATGCACGTTGATTGTTGGATTGTTTATTAATGCAAACATCACCTTGTGCTTGCCTTGAGCATAGTTTAATTTTATATTTTTATCTGAGGCATTCTTTTGATGGCTTTTTAATTATCAAATCACAAGAAAAAAAAAATCATATATGAATTTCGCAATTTTAAATTCCTTACCAATTACATATTTAAGCTTTTGCAAACTTTATAAATACTTGCAGGGTGGCCACTGATCATGAGTTTGAATGGCCACCCTGACTTGGGCAAGATCATTTCCTGAACATTTTTATTTCTAAATTTTTTAAAATAGAATTACTAAATATGTAAACAAAATTTTTAATAACGAGCTTGCCAAAGTTTTATGAAAAGAAGTAAAACAGAGTTTATTTGTTAGTTTTTTTTTTTCTTATTATTTTTTTTTTTTAGTGTTAATTTCTTAGTTTATTTAAAATGTTTACTATCCTGGAATATTGCAGAAAAACTACAAATAAAAAAATCTATTAAAACAACAAATTAAAAAAAAAAAAATTGAAAAAACCAATTAAAATAACAAATAAAAAATAAAAAACAATCAATATAAAAAAAAAATAACTTAATAAAATAAATAATACTGTATATTTTACTTTATTGTTTTAACTAATATTAATAGTACTATATTTTTTATTTTTTACATTGTATTTTTTTTCTTAAAAAACGCTGAGGGGATACTACAATCTATAGGGCTTACACTTAGAACTTTTTAAAAACTGTTGTTATAACCATCTCACAACACTTTGAAAACATAAACTGTGAAACATAAACTTTAGGGAACAATACTAATTAAAATAAAATGACTAAATATGTAAACAAAATTTTTCATAACGAGCTTGCCAATAGAATGCACAGAGGAACAAGTTGATTGAAAAAAGACTACATACAATTAAATGCAGCAAACTAATATATAATTATTTAATCTCATCTCTTTTCTTATTTTTTTTCTCATCTTTATCAAAGTTTTCTTTAGACTTTTATTAATAATCAATTCTTTCTCAAAAATTTTTAAGTGTGGCATTGCCGGTTTTTCCACTGAAGTCTATATATATACATATACATATACATATATATATACATATACATAAATATATATATATATATATATATATATATATATATATATATATATATATATATATATATATATATATATATATATATATATATATATATATATTATAAATTATCGCAATAAAGTACTGATCAAATTTAAATTAAATTACATTTACGTCCAAGGGATATTAAAGAATAAATACCTGAAGTTTCATTAAAATCAGATCATAAAAAAACAAATGTTAGGCAAAACAAGTAATTTAAACACATAAAATAGTGAATTATTTTAAACACATAAAATAGTGAATTATTTTAAACACATAAAATAGTGAATTATTAAAACACATAAAATAGTGAACTACTTTAAACACATTAAATAGTGAATTATTTTAAAAACATTAAATAGTGAATTATTTTAAACACATTAAATAGTGAATTATTTTAAACACATTAAATAGTGAATTATTTTAAAAACATTAAATAGTGAATTATTTTAAACACATTAAATAGTGAATTATTTTAAACACATTAAATAGTGAATTATTTTGGAGCAAAAGAAGATAAAGTGAAGATAAAGCAAAGAAGAAGATAAAGCAAAGACAGCATGCTAATTTATACTTAAATAGCACAGAAAAACAAAGAAAAAGATAAAAAAAGAAAACATGTCAACATGAAGTATAGTTATGTAGAATAATTAAGAGATATCAAAATAAAAATAGACTTGAATTCATCAAAAATTCTGAGAGAACTGCGACCAAATTATCAGTTAGTCTGTTAAAAAGTTGAAGAACATCATTTTATTTACAGTATCTTGCAAAAGTTTAGAATCAGTTTAGTATTTTTTAGGTAAATCCATAATTTATTGATAATGACATACAATAAGTCAAGGTTTAATTTATGTTTTCTACATACAAGTGTGTATATAACATAAATTAAATCTTAGCTTTGTGTATGTCATTTGTGTGTGTCATTTGTGTAAGCCTTTTCTGAAAAAACATTTTAAAATGTCAATAAGAAAATTAGCAATTTTAGTTTTTTAATTTTAAATATTAAAGCTCAGGGATGCAAAGTTCCATTGATTTTTTGGGAATCCATGACTCCGGACTCCATGCTAAGAAAATCATGAACTTCGATTCCAGAATAGTTTTTTTTTTCTTTATTTAAAATGGTTTTTTTTTTATCTAGAACTTTAATGCGAAAATTCCGGAAAAACCAAATTCCAATAATATTTTCTCTTATGAATTATACATGTTTATTTTATGTACCCTAAGAAGTGCTTACGGTCTAATAATAGAGAACCTTGGAAAAGCAATTAACAGGAAATTCACTTCTACTTCCTAACTGATGTCGCAAAACCAAAGATGGGTTTGAATCACAGATTCCTTATTTTTTTAGGAAAGTGCGCTACCACTGCGCCACCACTGCGCCACAGCTGTTTAAACCCAAAAGTTAATTTGCCCCGCTTTTGCTGGATCATAAGAATTTATAAGAACAACTCCAAAGATTTTTATTTGATTTGAATTGTCGCAGACTTCTCAGATGTCGCACTCAATTTCTCAGATTATTTGAAACCACATGATCATAAAATTATAAAAAGATTTAAATGTTTATTTACATTAAATACGCGCTATAAACTATAAAGTTACAAGGACAAAATATTACAATATCTACATCATCAAAATGTTCAAATAAAAAACTTGTTTGTTCGTAAAAAAAGCATATTATCAATTAACTCAGATGTAAATCGACTACAATGGTCTGGTGTCATGTGCTTTAAGACTGAAAACAGACGCTTGACACTGACTTGGGATATGGGTAGCAACAAAGCAACATGGCAGGCATCCCGTACAACTTCAGGGAACTGCTCAAATGATTTTAATGGGTTAAGTTTTAAAAACTCGCCTAAGTTGGATGATTTGTTTTTAAACATTGAAGGGATTTCCGGAATTGTTTTTAGAGCTAGTCGAAACTCCTTTTTGATTACATCTAGTTGAACCTGCATTTGTTCTTCTAAAGAATTTTCTTGAACCTCCTGTTCACACAACTTAAATAAATTTGGTCAACGTTTTGCAACTGGTAAAGCATTCTCCTCATTTTCTGAACTAGAGTCTGACACATAAACTGAAAAAGAGTTGCGCTCTACTGCTTTTTTGGTTTTATTGAGTTCATTATTCTTATTTTCATTAGCGAGTTGAATCAGTTTGTAATGTATTTTCCAAAGTCCATCAGCTGCAGTTATCTATAGAATATGTTTGACTTTTTAGAATATGTATTTTTTAAAGTTAAATAAATAAATATATCTAAATAAAATTTTATTAGAAAAAACCACCTTGTCTTCAGTCACTGTTAGCATACAGCCATGCCTAATATCAACGTAAACTGCTGCAAGAAACAACGAATTTTTGAGTAGTGCCCTTTCTCTATTATCCATTCCTTTTTAAAAAATCTTTGGCTAAGTCACTGTCCTTCCTGTCAAGTTCACACTTTATTGAATTCCAATCAAAAAGAAATTCGCCTGCTGTAATATTTTCACGTTGAAGACGAATAGTAAGATCGCGTGCCATATACAATACATCTCTCAATTCCTCCCACATACCCTAAAAACATAGTTGTACATTAAATTTTTTAGGAGCTTCTTTTTGCATATTTAGATTTTGAATTACTGGTCGAATCTAGAAGAACAGAAGAATTCATTAAATATATGTACAAAGTTATTAACTACTTAAATAAAGAGGATTAAAGAAATATTTTCATAAACTAACATTTAAAAATTATTAAGTAGTATAAATGTCATTAACATTGAAATAATTGGATTTATATTATACCAGTTAGAAAACTGGTTTATACACTTTGATTAAAACTTAGAAGTTATAAGTTATATCTTACCTTAATTAGCCTCTCAATCATATTGAACTGGCTAAATCAACAGGTAGCCTGATCTAAAATTGGAATAAAATGTTGAGTCTGGTCCCTGAAGAAGTCAATCCACTTTGAATTTCTTGCAGTTTTGACAACATCTCTGGCATGGTTAATTAGATTTTTTATTGTGGGCCTTTTCAATGCATCATTTACGGCTAGCTGTAAAGTGTGGACAGCACATCTTTGAAGATGTATAACACTCATACTACTGGCAACTCCACTTGCCAAAACTGCTGTCGCATTGTCCGCTTTAGAATAACCATCTTCATCAAATTCATCAGTTTCTACAAAAAAATCGTCTTCGTCATCTACGATTTCCTCAACAGCGCTGATGCAAGTTGCACACAAACTTTATATTCACCTAAAGATATTAAATATAATTTCAATAGTTAATTTAAAGTTTAGTGAATATACAGTATATAAAAGACTTTATCAAAACAGTTTAAATTTTAAATGATTTTATGGAAAATAATAACTTTATTCACATAATTTTAAAATTTTTTCATTAGGGAAAAATATAGCGAATTTCAAAATATGTTACTCACTGCTGCGTTGTCAACACTGAGGTCAAAAATATTAATTTTATTGATTCCAAACTTATCTAAACACTTCTCAATAATTTTTTTTGTGTATTCCACTGTTTGTTTTCCCTTCCTATCAATGATGCCAAGATCGATCACAGCAATTTCATCATCGTTCGAGTATTGGGCATTTATACCGAGGTAGTGACGCATATGTCTTGATGTCGAATCAACTTTCAAATAAATTGGCATTTTCAATAATTTGTTTTTGATTTGTTCCCTATACTCTTTGCCAAGATTGATAATTTGAATTCTCATTTTGAATCCAAAATGAGATGAAACTTTTCAGCAAAGCTTTTAAATAGGTTCCCGATAAAATGCCTATAGATATTGTTTTTAGAATGATAAATATTTATTTAAAAATGGCAAAAAAACATAATTGTTTAGATTTTTTTTTTAATGAAAAAATAATTACTAACGAAAAAATAAATTGAACCTGGAATGAAAGACCGTCAAACAAAACCAAATGGTTTAAGGCTTCTAAAAACTCATCTTTTGCAATATGCTAACTAATTTGCTGTGGTACAAAACACTTTAAAATGGAATTTTCTTTTTCTAATGTAATGTAATGAGGAGCTCCGCATATTTTCTAGATAAGTGTCGTATATAGTTTGCTAATTCAAGTTTTTGCAACAATTTCTTACAACATATTTTCTGAATAAACGTCACATAAATGATATCAAAATAAAAATTAAATATTCTAAAGGATGAAAGTTTTCTCTTAACGTTAAACTGCTGAACGCATAGGCATGTGGCCTTTTTGCACGTAAAATGTGAGCTTGGTAACACCTCTTAACAAGGCATAACATTCGAACCGATACTCAATCTGAGTATTGGTTCAAATTGGTAAGGAAGGAGATGAGCTTTCCGGTCAAATGCTCTTTTACAGTGTTTTGACTATCAGGTATTTCTTAAGCATATTAATAATTATAAAAAAAAAAAGGAGTCCCAGAGTCCTAAAATTTTTATGGACTCCCGAGACTCCGGACTAAAATACAAACTCCATGGACTCTTACTCCGGACTTAGCATCCCTGTTAAAACTAAACAAATGTTATTTTAAACAGAGAAATTTACTTTTTAGCTGTAACATTTAATTGTATGTATACCCTAATTTTTTTAACTAAACAACATATTTTTTATAATTAGGCAATACCTTTGCCATGAAAAGCTTGCTTCCATATAAAGGTATTGATTTAACAACATTCATATACATTTCGCAGCATTCAAGAGATGTTTTTCCTTTCAAAGTGGACCAAATATCTGCCACATTTTGTATTATTTTTCTAAATTAAAAAAAGAACTCAAAGTTTGTTTATTTCCACTTTTCATAACAAAAGTTTGAATTTATTTTATCTACACTTTCTATAACATATCAATTAAGTTGTAAAGTTTACTTTTTCATTGATGCATTAAGAATCTTATTAAAATCAGGGTAGTTGATCATCAGTTCTTCTATCATTTTAAAATGTTCAACATAATCTCCACATTCAATCTAAAATCATATAAAAAAACAATACAATTTTAAAAACATATGTTAAACTTTGGTTAATACCATAATTAACATGTGTTAAACATATGCTAATACCATAGCATAGATATAAAAATATAAACAGTAATGCTATGATATAAAATATAAAAACATAAACAATAAAATTTTAGATTACTATTTAAATTAATAATGAGGTCATCTTTTATTAAAAATAAACAAGAAACCATCTTTCATTTAAAGTAAAAAAAAAAAGTTCTTTATTTAGTGACCCTCCTCTTAAGAACTTAATAAATATAAGGATATAGTTTTTGAAATATTTATTAAATCAATAACGAGGTCATTTTTCATTAAAAATAAACAAGAAACCATTTTTCATTTAAAGTAAAAAAAAAAAAAAATGTTTTTCTATTTAGTGACCCTCCCAATAAGAACTTAATAAACATAAGGAAATAATTTTTGAAATATTTATTAAATTAACAACAAGTTCATATTTTATTAAAAATAATTTTTGAAATATTTAAAAAAATGCTTAAATAATAGTAATATCAATCAATATTTAAAAAAACTTGAATTGTTGAGTTATCAAGACCAAAAAAAGTTAAGTATAAGTTAAGTATAAGTATATAAGTAGCTATGAATTATAATATAAGCATTAAAAAACTTAATAAGTAGCTATGAACTTAATATAAGCAGCTATGAACTTAATATAAGCAGCTATGAACTTAATATAAGCAGCTATGAACTTAATATAAGCAGCTATAAACTTAATATAAGTAGCTATAAACTTAATGTAAGCAGCTATGAACTTAATATAAGTAGCTATGAACTTAATATAAGTAGCTATGAACTTAACAAGTAGCTATGAACTTAATATAAGCAGCTATGAACCTAATATAAGCAGCTATGAACTTAATATAAGCAGCTATGAACTTAATATAAGTAGCTATGAACTTAATATAAGCAGCTATGAACTTAATATAAGCAGCTATGAACTTAATATAAGCAGCTTTGAATCTAACATGAGTAGTATAGAATTGAAGATAAAATCTAAAAAGTAATAAGAATCCAAATATTAGAAACTGTATTTAAAACTATAATTGAGTTGTGTTCAGTTCTTATCTACAATGACTAAAACTACAAGAAATTTGAGTAATTTCTTAAAAAAGAGATAACTAACTGTACACAATTTTATTGAGTTTTAAAACATATTCAGGAAAAATATTTTTGACAGAAGTTTAAAAAAAAAGGTTCATAACAGGTCTATAGGTAAATAAAATAGCTCTATGAATGTGTAACAGTTCTGTGAATATGTAACAGTTCTTTGAATGTGTAACAGTTCTTCTATAAATTTGTAAAAGTTCAATAAATGGATAACAATTTTTATGAACTGTTACACATTCAAAGAGGTGTAACAGATTTTATGAGTAACAAGTCATCAACAGATGTACAGATGTAAAATAAAACATATCTTATAAAACATCAAATAACCTCAGAGCTCTGGAGAAATATAAACAATTTATGAAATTTTAAAAAAAAATAAGAAATTAACTTCACCTGAGAATATAGAGCTGTGAGTTTAGCTAAGTTGTTTGCTGTTGGTACCAAATAACCACACCTGATATATTGTGCTACCTAAATTATTAAATTTTTATCAATCAAATTTGGAAAAAAATTATACTCAGATAGTCACAAAAATACATCTCAGCAAGTACAAACACCTCAGAAAGATTAGAATACATCTCAGAAAGATTAGAACACATCTCAGAAAGATTAAAATACATCTCAGAAAGATTAGAATACATCTCAGCAAGTTAAAATAACAATAATTTAGTCATAAATTTGAAGACTTTCAATTAAGAGTAATTGACAAATCACAAGATTTACAACAACACATAGAATTACAAGTTACTTTTAATACTTATAATACACACTTTTAAAACCATCAAAATTGTGTGTTAAGGGGACTAAAAATCACAAAAATTACAATTTGCACAACTTTATTTGTGACACATCAATAGGAGCTCTAAAATGTGTATAGGTGCTTATGCATCTCAGATGGCTGGATGAAAACAGAAGACAATAAGAAATGCTGATATTGTTAAGTCCACTAGTTAAATAAAAACTTGTTTTTCAACTAATCTATATGCATGGTGTCAGAACATCAAATGCAACATTAAAAAAATTTAGTTTTAAAACTGATTTATAAACTTTAACCTCATTTTATTAAACTTTACTCTTATAAAACATAAAAATCTTTCACCTCAAAAACATGAAGAAGCTTTTCTTTTTCAGTAAGAAGGTTAATCTTACTCAGAAAAAACAATCTAAACATTAAATTTAAATCAAAAACAATCTAAATATTAAATCTAAACATTAAATTTCTCACTCTATTACCTAGTTAATGTATTTTAAATATCAACATAATTAATTGACTTGAAAATGAAAACATCATTGACCTGTTTCTGTATATAAATTTAATTCCACCTGATCTCTTTAGTTTGTCAACATTAAATTGTTGAGCTACATTCTCCCATTTTGATATTGCATCACAAACCTATATAAATAAAACAAAAATTATTTATTAGATGCAAAATTTCCACACAAAATATGTTGTAACACACAAAATAAACTTAACCTTAACATTACCCTGCAGATAGTGTTGCACTTTAGTTACTGGATTGTCAGTGTACAATGCATATCCACTTTCATTATTAGGTCGCATACCGATTTCCTAAATTACACAATAAATAATGTAAAAACCTGATAAATGAGTTAAAATCTTTTTAAAATTTTAATTTTTATATATTAATTCTAATAATCGTAAAAATGTTGTTGTAAAAAAAAAAAAAAGAAAAAAAGTATACGTCATTAATTCTTTTACATAACTCATTAACAGTAGTTGAACCATCTAAAGTAAACACCTACAAAAACAAATAAATTTATACATTTTTTTGGGGGGTTGCTCAAGACCCTTGAGTATTTGAGGGGGTCATTTTTGAACATTTAAGCATTTTTCAAACATGGAACATTATTTAAACTTAATGATTGAAAAAACTTTTAATTGAAAAATATTTCATTTTTTTATAATTATTTTCTAAAATTATTTAAGATTTTAGTAAAAATGAATATTTTCTTCTGAAATTTTTTTATATAGATTCGTTTTTTTGGACCCAGGTGGACAAACATTTGAAGATTCTTTTTGTTGTTGATAATATTAGGGGAATGTTCAATATTCAAGGTAATTATTTAAAATCTCACCTGGATTAGGATCATTATGATATGACTACCTATTGCTAATAGCATGGTAAAGTTAACTCTGACTTAAAATAAAATAAGGTTATCTACAGATTGTGCATCATTAAAATAATCATCCTGAGCAGATGATAACAGTATCCAACTACTGTAGATGGCCTTCTAAGCAAAGACTTTAAGGGTAAGCATAAAAAAAAAAAGAAAAAAATACCTAATAATTAAACAAAAATTTATTATTACCTTTAATTAAATCTATCCTTAAAAAATATTTTTGGTCTACAAAGTAACTTTAATATCTATTGAATTTTATCTTCAAAAATTCACCATACCTAATTGCTCTTTGTGAGACATTTAAATTTGACTGTTTCATCTATGAATCTTTGTGATGATGCTTTTTCTGCTTTGATTCACAAAAACTCCAACAGTCACATGCTTGGTCTGAAGTGAATTTTATACTAAGTATAATGCTTAAAATAAATTTTATAAATTTACACTAAGCTTAGTATAAATTTTACAAATTTATACTAAGCTTAACTAAGTGTAAATTTTACTTGGCATTCACTTTGTAAATACTTAGTATAATACTAAACATTTACTGAGTAAATTTATTTTATAAATTTCTATATAATTTACTTTGAATAATATAAGTATAAATAAAATAAGTATAAATTTGTAAAATCAGGTCTAAATCCTCTGACCTTTATGCCTATATTGTACTCAATGAGTCATCTAGCATTCATTTTCTAGGATTAACTGTTACTTCCAATCTTTCACTGCTCGAAAGAGCTAGCGTCTCTTGTGCCATCTACTAAAAATCATTCTTATGTTACTTGCCATTCAATTGAGTCTCATCCTTTTTTTGTTACTGTTGCTAAGTGCTCCAAAAACTTTTATTGGTCTAGTTTTTTTCCTTGAACATCATTTCTTTGGAATTTGCTTCCTTCATCTTGCTTTCCTGATTCATAAAATTTGCAATCTTTTAAGTCGTCAGTCAATCATTATTTTGCTCTACAGTCTTCATCTTTTCTCTTTCAGTAACTTCTAACTCTAATTAGTGGTTGCTTGCAGCCTTGTTGGAAGCAAAAATTTAAATTAAAAAAAAACAAAAAACTCCTTAATAATGTCATTAAAAAAGACAAGTCTAACATTCCATTTCTCATACAAGGATCTGATTATATTACCTCACCCAGGGACAAAGCAAAGCGATTTGCAAAAAACGTTTCCTCTTAAATTTAACAACTGCATATTTCCTATCACCTCAAAGAAACCAATTAACCCACTGTTAGATATACAAATCATTCCTGCTTTTGTTTTAAATTTAAATTCTCACTGAAATTCTTCTACAGCTTGTAGTTGATTAACATTACTGTCACTGGAGACTGAACATGCTAACTATCACACATAGTTTGATTAACATTACTGTCACTGGAGACTGACCATATTAACTATCACATATATTTTGGTCAACATTACTGTCATTGGAGACTGACCATGCTAACTATCACACATAGTTTGATTAACATTTCTGTCACTGGAGACTGACCATCCTAACTATCACACATAGTTTAACATTCCTATCACTGGAGACTGACCATGACTATCAAACATAGTCTTCTTACTATTATTAGTCTTTAAATTCTCAATTAACAATCTTTTAATATTTTTTTATTTTATAATTTTATTTCATTTTGAGTCTAACAACTGACTCTCTGGCAATGAATGGATTTCAATCCACTTGCTCTACTGCTGACTTATTAACTTATTAACTGACAGAAAGGTTTTATTGTGCATTAAATGGAATTGGAAAGCAACAGGTGTTTTCTCTCAGCATACCAAAGACTTTCAATGAAGTCTGAGTTGTCCTTGACAATTCTGGTCTTCTCCATAAACTTGTTTCATATGGTGTACCTGAGAAAGTTTTAAAATTATTGAATCATTTTTTTTCCAAATGCAACTAATATAAGTTGTCCTTGACAATCACCGCTCTCCTTCATTTCCAGTAACTTTTAGGGCACCACAAAATTTCATTTTTTTCATTCTTGTGTTTTTCCTTATCTATATTAACGATTTTTTTAATAATCTTACCTCTAAAGTTACTTTTTTTCCTGATGACACAACTATATGTACCTGCCTTGACAAAAATTCATTACAATTTGATTGCTGAGAATGATGAGCCAATCTTGAATTTGACTTTTCTTCAGTTACAGCTTATGACTCAAAATAGCTGGTGAGATTTAGGATCTGGTGAGTTTTAACTTAAAAAAATTCAGTTATTTACTGCTAATAATTGTCAAACATTGTTGATACTACCTGATGAATACCATATTGATAAATAGCAACACTCTTACTAAGTCCTAAACTTTCTTCCTCTTGGATTATCACTCACCACTTGGGGTTTACTGGAAAGTCAAGAAAAGAGATAAAACTTAAAAACATTAAATTGGGGAGCTAAAAGACATGAAGACAGGAGAGTTTCAAAGCAATCTTTAAGTTGAATATCAATATTCTGAAAGTCTATTCTCTATATACAAATCAGATTTATATATGCAAAGATGTTCATGTATATATTTTTAATGAAAACATAGGCAGAAAATAAAAAATTGAAACTATGAAACATTTTTAAAACAAATATATCTAAAATATTAATCATTTAAAATAAAATATTTATTTACTATTTTAACTACCATTTAGCAAACAATTGCATTGAAATTAATTACTATTTGTTTTTTAGCTTCTGTTATTTCAATTCAATATAGTTGTTTATAAAATGATAGGCAGAGCCGGCTTGTGAAACATATTTTATGTGTGCAAGAATAAATTAGGTGACTTTTAGATTTAAATTCCAAGCGAGCTCGCAAGCGTTAGCTTGCTCACAAAATTAAAAAAAAAAAAAAACACACCATAAAACAATACATACTACTAATAAAATAACTTTCTTAACAATTTTATTAATTTTAAACATATTTTTAGTTAGAAAATGGAACACGTTTACAAGAACACGTATAGAACATGTCTTACTTTAGATTTTGAAAAATTTAATCTCTAAGTATCAATACCCACAGATTCAGCAATTTTGTTTTCAATGGAAGTTATTGATAAAGCATTTAAACATTCCTGGCCCATTGTTGATCGTAAATAGTTTTTTATTAATTTTAATTTGAAAAAAATACATTCCCCTGTACTCACTGTTACCGGTAGTGTTAATAATATTCGTAGGGAAATACAAACATTAGGAAACAGTTCTTTAAGGTGACTATCATAGATCCATTTAAGCAAAGATTCTGGTGAATTTTTCCCATCTTATTTCTGTGATAACAAATTAAGTTCCAGAAACAAATCCTCTGAATACACATTTTTTGATTCACCATGAGTCAATACTTTTTCCAGTAATCTGCATTTATTAATTGTCTTCTTCTCCTATTTTATCAATATCTTTGATATCATACAAAAAATCAAATAGTTCTATTGTACTTGAAAAGCTTTTAAACAATTCATTTATGGATTCTTTAGCTATTTTAAAGAAAACATAAAAAAACTGCTTTTTGAATTTTTGGTTTGGTGATATATCACCATCTTTTTCAAAAGGTTCATCATCAAATTTTTTTTCTTTTTCTTGCTCTTTCATAAAATTGAATTCTGTTCATAGAACTGAATTCGTCAGTCAAATTTGCATCATTAGCTAGAATTTTAGCTTTTGAAATATATATTATGTAGGAATCTTCAGTGTGTTTAGTAACAAAAAAATTGTTTTCTTTAATGCATTTGTAGCAGTCTTCACGTCTACAGTTTGAGATTGTAATAGTTTATTAGTACAATTAATTTCAGATAATACACCTTGCCAGACCACAACACCACATATGATGCAAGCGATTCAGCAGTTAATCTAGTAATAGAATCTTTTTTAATGTTAACAACTTTTTTCAATGCACAATAAATTTCTTTTAACCCCAATTTTAGAGCATGAAAGCATTCACATGACTTTTCCACCTGGTAGTACTTAATGAATTTACTGTTAATTTGCAACATTTTGATTCAAAAATTTGCCAACGCTTTTGAGTCGCAGAGAAAAAATTATACATAGCAGAGAAAAAATTATACATAGAATTTGTGAAAAAAGTAAACATCCTTGGACTGCATCCGCAACAACCAAATTCAAAGAGGTGACAGACACAAGGAATATAAAAGGCTCGTGAATTTATATCAGTTATATGCTTCTGTACACCAATTTTTTTACCTTTCATGTTGGATCCATTATCATATCCTTATCCACGAATATTCATGACAGAGATTATTTGATTCTAATGAATTCAAAATTTCTTCAGTAAGTCCTAATCCAGTAGTATCTAATACATTTATGTATCCTTATTATGAAAACTTTCTTGAATTGTGACACTGATAACTTGGTTATCCAATTATTTGGCAATGTAAGCGTAATGTATAATAATAGACATTTGCTCTTTGTGACAAATATCTGGTGTACAATCTACATTAATGGAAAAATACTTTTTTATCATACTTAAAATTTTATTTTTTGTTGCTTTATTTATTATTGCCTTAATTAGGATTCTCAACTGCTTTCAAAGTTTGATCCAGTGATCTAGTTCGAGTGAAAGTAGTTCTTCAATTTTTAAGAATTTCCCATTATTTTCTGAAAAAATTTGGTCTGATGATCCACATAATGCCATATTTTCAGAAGTCATCATCAAAATTATATTGATAATTCTCTTAATAACAACAGCCAAATTTATGTTATTGTATGAAGGTTCGATTTCCAAATTCAATTCTACAATTGTATTAGTTTCACTATATCCTTCATTAGTGTTTTCAATTCCAATTAAGTTCATCTCTCCTTCATTTTATTTTTCACTTGAACTTTTTTCCTTTTTTTCATTTGGTTTCTCATATTCAATTCATTCTCTAAAAAGAAAATTATGAAGAGTTTTCTGCTTTTTGAAAGCTTCTGCTTGTTTTTTTTCTCTTTTTAATTTATTTTGCCAACCAGACAATTTCTTTTTTTGATCCATTTTATTTCAGAATGGTATAGATTTTTTGCTATTTTGAATCACCTATCAATAAAAAAAAAAATACAAAATAATACACAAGGATTACTTTTGCATATCAAAGTGTAACAGACTTTTTGCTAGGGTTTTTTATTTATTTTTCATTTGGTTTAATGCAAGTTCTTTAATACTTTATGCCTTTATATTACCTTGTTATTTTTATAATAAAACAATAACAACCATTTTTTTCAATTTAATTTATTTGAACTATCAAAAATATACAAAAAGCAACTCATTATGCAATGCATCATAATCCAACCCTCGGAATTAGGAAAAATGAGGTCGGCAATTTTTTGCTGACCTCAAACAAGAAAATGTTTTTTAAATCTGGAAAATAAAGTGCAGACATGTCATTCACAACTGATAATAGAAATTTAAGGAGAAGACCTATTTCAGTAAAGCTAGCATCAATGCTGGCCATCTTGTCCAGAAATAAACATAAAATGTAAACTTTTGTCTAATTGGTTAGCAGAAAACATTACAAAAAAACTCATTGGGATTGGACTAAGGACATAACTCAGTTTTTATAAAAATGGACTTAGTACCTTTTGCATTTTTGGTGATAGATCTAGAAAGGCCTATATATTTTGTTCCTAAGCAGATTTTTAATTTTGGGCTTTTTTAATGCTGCGCCTGTGTGTTTCGCACACTTCACATATGCTACGAGCCGGCTCTGATAATAGGTTCAAGTTAATTTATTCTCAGAATTACCTTTTGCAGCAATTTACATATATAATGATTAAAAGAAAAGAATTCATAATTAAATCACCTGATATGTGTTGTTCAAAAAGTATATTGGTACGCTTATAGGATATAGGCGGTAAAAAGGATTACTAGCAATGAGAGATGACACCTAAAAGAAACAAGCTAATTTAAAAAGTATAACAAACTTATTGCACTAAACCTAAGCTCATTTTAAAAAAAATTGTAAAACAAAAGAAAGATAAAAGCAAAATGCATGCCTCAACACGAGAAGGTTTGCATTCACGATCACCATTTTGGAGCGTCCGTTCTAAACTTCGTTGGCAATATATGGCATACCGTCCATTTCCTGAACTAAAATTTTTTTTTTAATATTTAAATCAATTTAATCATCAAACTTCTTCAATAAATAGAATTTTTATAAAATATTTATATTTTTTCTAAATCATCCAAACTATGACTTTTTTTTTTGACTGTTTGCTTTTGTTTTACAAACACTTTTTTTATTTGACCAAATATTTCTTTTTAAATACTTTTTTTTTATTCTACTACAAAATTAAAAATTATCAAACTTTCATATTTTAGAAAATCTTTATAAAAGTTATTTTGATAACTATGTTCTACTTTCACTCATAAACATTGCTACTCATTTGTAGGTAGTTCTGTGAACAGCAGGATAATTATATAAAACACATGCTAGTGCTTATAAAAGGCTATACATTAACATTTATTTTTTTAAATCTGGTGGAATAGTCATAAAGTACTGCAGAAGAGTATTTTACGGAATTTCACACTTTTTCCCTTACCCATATATGCATTGAACCTCAGATCTCTTAATTTTGAAGCATTCTAACTACTATGTCAGAAAACGATTTTGGTTAAATTTATCCTTTCAATTTTTTTTTTAGTTTAGTTTCAAAAACTACAAAATATAAAAAACCATCATCACCACCAAGTTCTCTAAATCTATCATTCACTAATATCCATGGCCTTTAAAGTAATTTTTCTTCTGTTGAGTCTTATCTCTTACAAAATACACTACACCTACTTGCTTTTTGTGAGATTATTTGACTCCAGCTGTCTTATCTCGTGATCTTAGTGTTGAGGGTTGTTTTCTTTAATTTGTAAAAACTGCAAAAGTCACATGCTTGGCCTGATAATTTACATTCATAATAATTCACATATTTGTTAAGAAACTAGATTCAAATCCAAAGACTGTTCTTTTACGTACTTTTGCTTAGCACCACTTCACTCTATCACCTTTCTCTTTGTTCTATATTGCTCTCCCTCAACTCAAGATTGCATTCTTTTTGATGTTATTTCTGATCAAATTGACCAAGACCTTTCTCTTTATCCTTCAGCCAATATTGTTGTTGTTGGTAACTTTAATGCTCATCACACTGAATGGCTTGGTTCTAGTGTCAGTGACTCTGCAGGTGTTAAGGCCCACAACTTTTAGCCTTCTCAATCTCTAACAAAAATAGTCAACTTTTTAATTAACTTCCCAGACAATCCAAATCATTTATCTTTGTTGAAAATTAATTTCCTGCTAATATAATCTACAGCTTGTGATCCAAACAAAACAGAAGTGTTCTCCAGAGCTGTCGACTATACTTTCAAAACTATTTAACAAGAACTCATCAGAGTCTTGTTTACCATCCTGTTGGAAAGCAGCATCTGTTATCCCTATTTACAAAAGTTCTGATGAGCAATTTGATCCCTATAACTACCGCCCCATTAGTCTTCTTCCTATCATAAGCAAGGTTTTTGAATCTTTAATTAACAGACACTTAATCTTTTATCTTGAATCTAATAACTTCTTCTTTCGATTTTTCAGATTTCTTCTTGTTCTATTGCTAGTTTGTTAATGGTAATAACCAATAGGTTTTATTATGCATTAGATAGAGCTTTAATAAAACTTGGCATGCTAGTACTACATTGGCTGTCTTCTTTACGGTAATATCAGGTAATATCTTTAAGATTACTGAATCCTTCTTTACCAATCGTAGTATATAAATTGACCTCTATGAACAGCACTCTTTTTCATTTCCTGTAACTCTCGGGGTTCTAAAGGTTTTATCTTTGGCCCTATAATTTTTTTAATTCTCACATCCAAGGTGGTATTGTTCGCTGATGATACTATTATTTATTATTTTCTTGATAAGAAGCCAACACTCTCTGATTCTTTAGAAAGGGTGTTTGAACTTGAAAAGGATTCATACAACTTGCACTCTTTTAAGTCGTCTGTTAATCATTATTTTGCTCTATAAACTGGTTGCTTGCAACCTTGTTAGAAGTAAAGATATTTAAAAAAAAAGTCTGACCAACTTTGTTTTTTTTATTAGAATTTAACAGTTCAAAACTGCAACTGATGTCAGCAAAATTGACATCAGGTATACTAACTAGTTAATTACATTATTATATATGAACAATTTTAAAATTTATTGTTTTGGTATAAATTGAAGTTTTATTAATTTGATCATGTATATATATATATATATATATATATATATATATATATATATATATATATATATATATATATATATATATATATATATATATACATATATAATATAATTTTAAGTTGAAATAAATATATAAAAATGATTTTTTTTGTTCATTTAGTCGGCTAATTTGACCCTTTTTGACTGGTTATTCAACAAATGTAGACCCTTTCGACAAGTTAGTCTGTAAATTTAGACAATTAGTCGGCAAATGTCAATAAGGCAGTCGGCAAATTTTAAAAAACAAGGACCATTTTTTTTTAAGTCAGCAAAAGTTGTAATGGCACCCCACCCCCCACATGACACCTACTCGCACTGGCCCTGATTGTATTAATTGTACAAATACTTTTATATATCTTTTTTATTACAAGGATTCCATATCGGCTGCATATTCAAGAATCTTATTCAAAGTCTTACAGATAAATAATTTTATTATCTGACCTAACCAATTTCAATGATATGTCAAGGGGAATAGCCTCGCCTCTGATGTGCTTTGTTATATTACATCACAGGTGTATTCTTATATTGCTTATTTACACACACATACACACACACATAGATAGATATTAAAAAGACTGAGCTAAACAAATTAATTTTCATTAAGGCAAGCCCAAAACCTTTATTTCAGATCCTGTGTAAGCTATATTAAAAAAAATTGGATTGCCATTACTAAGTAATTGATTATTTCAAGTTTGACTCCAGCTGTCTTATCTCGTGATCTTAGTGTTGAGGACTTTTATAGCCTCTTTTTATATTAATTTTTGAATACTACATAGCTTTTACTTCTTTTTTTTTTACTTTTTTCACATTCTTGTCAAACAGTAAAACAAATATATAATTAAATAGTCAATTAAAAAATTTATGCTTTATTTAAAATAAACCTTTCATTTGCATTCCTAGCTATGTGAGCCTTAAGAAGCCATAACACCTTGAGTTTTGGTAAAAAAATGCTGCTACCAATAGCAATCAGTTGCCAACATTGCAAATAAACAAATGAAGAAATCGGTTTCAAATCTATAGTATTCATTGAAGAATCACTTGTTAACCAATCATTTGACTTTAAGTAGTTCTAAATATTGCAGTTGATATCTCATAGTCGAAGTTTAAAAAAATATTAGATAATGATAAACATAAATAAATAATATATTGAAATATTAGAACGTTAAAACAACATTATAAGAAGTAACACATACACCACTATAAGCAGCAGGAGATTCTGAGCGATATTTTGTAGTTTGTTTAATCAGCTGACAATAAAACTCTGTTTGAAGTTCAGGATATGTTAAGCATAGCTGAATAATTTCTTGAGAAAGAGCAATATGGTAATCAATAGCAACCTCGTTGATGGGAGTTTTTGTATAAAGATGAATACTCTGAGAAAAAAAAAGATAATAAATGTAATTATACTTGTATACAAAGAATATAAGAATATCATTTAAAAAGTTTGAAGTATTCACTTACACTGTATTGCTTGTTTGTAAGAAAAAAAATTGCATAAAAATCTCAAATAACCTTTGACAAGTTAATTGCTTCTTTTTCAAGATCTGGAGTTGATAAAGCTGTAAGACTACTTTCTAGTACATTTTTTGAGTGCACCATTAGATTGTTTCGCCAATGTGGACTATCTAACAAGTAAAAAAAAATTAGACAAAACTTTCAATGTTTATTTTGGGTAATAAAAAACTTAATAACAAAAACCACACTATGGCGGACTTATTTATCAAAACACCAACCATGTCCCTGCTCTTTTTTTTTTTTTTTAAACTTGATCCCAAACAACTCCCATCCCAGTAGGCATGTGTCATCCAGGGGGTGCCTGTCGGACATCTTACAAATGTCTGGGCATACAGGAGACATCTTATGGACAACCTCTAAGCAACGCGTGCCCACTGGGATTGTTGACAAAAAATACTAGAATTTAAAATAATAGACTTCTAAAACAGAATTTTTCATTTCAGAAACTTTCAAATCAGAAACTGATGTAGGTCTAATTTTGAAAAGTAGGTTTAATTTTTCAATAAAAAATTATTTTAAAAACTGAAACCTTTTGATAAACTCATAGGAAACATTATGCTTAATGTATCTAAAAAATATGGTTGGTAAATCTAAAAGAACTCATGGGTTTACAGTCAAATATTAAATATTTTTACCTGAACTATGAAGTTATCAAGTTAAAAAAAATTCAAACTTCAGTTTTAAAAAAAAATCATAAAATTTAAACGTTTCTTTAAAAAATTTGAAACCTCTCAAACTTTCTTTCTTTAAAGAATCTCTAACTTTAAACCCTTGAGTCTTCTTTAGGAATTTTCATAAAAAACTCTCATTTTAACTAAAAAATTAAAAGAATCTACTAGTATCCCCATCAACATTCATTAGCTTTGTAACCAGCTCTTCAAATGGAGTTTCATTTTTTATATGAGTTCCAGAAAGGTGATGAATCCAATTGTCCTAAAAAAAAATCTTTCTTTTAGGAAAAAATGTTATTTTTGTTCTTCATTAACATTTAAAAAAATTTATTTTTAATCATCAATAATTTTATATATATATATAATTTGACAAACTCACCTACAATATAATTTAACTTTGACAACCTCACCTATAATTCAACTTTGTTATGCAAGACTGCAGCAACAGCTTAATGCTTGGGGTGGCTTGCTCTATGATTGAATCTCTTTAGCCATGAACAAAGTATGAAAAAACATTAAACATAAAAAACCATCCCCACTACTTAAAACACAATACTTGAAACACTCTCCCATCATCATTAGGTTGCCTCACATAATGTTTTCTACAAATATTATTATGATTGCTGTTCAAAGAAGCATTTCTAGTTCCATCAAATCTTTTCCTCTTAACTACAAAGAAGCTATCATTTCTAGTTCCATCAAATCTTTTCCTCTTAACTACAAAGAAGCTATCATTTCTAGTTCCATCAAATCTTTTCCTCTTAACTACAAATATTATCATGATCAGTATTCAAACAAGCTGTTATCTTAAATTTTATCAACAAAAGTTCATTCTCGCTTGACTTGTCATTCAGCAAAGTAACATCCTTTTACTGTATTTGTCCCTTTATGCTCTGAAAACTTTAATTCATCTAGTTTCCCCCCTCTTATTTCAATGCTTTTGAACTCTTTCCTAACTTCACGTTTTCTTGACTCATACAACCTACAACCTATAAAGTCTTTTGTCAACTTTTTTGCTTCACTTAAGCATTATATTGTTTGTTTTCTAATAACTTCCAACTTAATCGTGGTTGCTTACAGCCTTGTTTACTCCCAACTTAATAGTGGTTGCTTACAGCCTTGTTTACTCCCAACTTAAAAGTGGTTGCTTACAGCCTTAATTACTCCTAACTTAATAGTGGATGTTACCTTGCAACCTTGTTGAGAGTAAATTGGTTTATAAAAATTCAAAAATTAAAATATAACTTATTTAAAATATTTGTTTGCATCTATTTAGAAATAAAAATAAAAATACCATTTCTACTTTATTGCTAACTTCAATATAAGTGGGATGAGAATCTTTCAGACATTGAATAACAAATCTAAAATCTTCTTCAACATCACAAAACTTCTCCTCTACAACAGGTTTCACGCATACTATTTCACAAATTTTTATTTGGTAAACAACTATCTAAAATAAAGAAATAAATCATAAAAAATGTACAACTAATAATAAAAAATACAAAGATATAATGATAATAAAAAAAGAATTATATATAATGATAATCACTATAATATAATAATGCAGATAAATATATAAATCATAAGAAATAACAAAGATTTAATTTTAAATGATTTTTAAAAATTATTTACTTAAAGATAAAATTTCTTCAAAACTTGGTACAATTAAATAGTATAAAAACTTGATTTTATTGTGTTTAACAATTTTTTTTTTAATATGTTTTAAATTTACATAAAAAATAAAATACTTTTTATTTTATGTAAAATTAAAACATTAACAATTGAGTTTTTAATTATTGCAATTATTGACTGTAAAAACAAATTTATGTTCTTGCTTTTTATAAATGCTAAGATATTTTTATTTAGAAATTCTTATTTAATGAGCATTTTTAATTTATATGAATCTTCATTTTATAAAAAGTTATCTTGACCAGTGTGCTGAAAATTTCTGAGGATGTTACACAAAAACATTATGGCAGACTATTGTTGGAGTGCCAAAAAAGATTACTCAGGAAAAATTTGCAATGGATTTGATATATGGTTTCCAAAAAAGATCAGAAGTAAGATTTAATCCTAGAAGATGAAGAGTAGATGACTCATCAAGTAAATTACCATTCATAAGTATAGGAAGATCTAGAATGTTGCGATAACAATTAACTGAAAAAAAATTAAGTTATATCTGAGAGAGCCATTGAGAGTCCCATGCTGTAGCAGAAGTGAGATCCTTTTCAAGCTAAAATGACCCCTCCAAGCAATCAGAGTGCTGGCTTCTTATCAAGGCAAGAATAATTGGTAGCATAATCAGCAATTAATGCCACCTTAGATGTGAGAATTTCTGGAAAATCGTTAATGTAAATTAAAAAAAGTATAGGGTCAAAGATAGAACCTTAAGGAACCCCTGAAGTTACAGGATATGAAGAAGACAACTGTCCATCGAGGACAACTTTTTTACTGAGATTAGTATATGTGTATATATATATATATATATATATATATATATATATATATATATATATATATATATATATATATATATATACATATATATATATATATATACATATATATATATATATATATACATATATATATATATATATATATATATACATATATATATATATATATATATACATATATATATATATATCAGGCTTGGTTGGGAAGCGGGAACGATCGCTCTCGAATACTGACCACGGAAATTATATTTAGTTGCGTAAAACTGGCCAGGTTTTTTAGTCGTTTTGAGAACATTTAAGTTTATGTACAAATGTACGAAACAAAAAACTTTTTGTTTTACGGACATACATGGAAACATAAAAAACTTGAATATTCTCAAAACATCTTTGTGCGAAAGAATAAAAAGAATATTAAAACCCTAAAAAACTAAAAACCACCAAATTAACGAACAAACTTTTTCTATTGGTTCAAAAAATACGCTGATTAAGCGAAATAAAGTTCTAGAGAGTTAAAATGTTTTAGAAATTGTATTATTCACGATTTGTTACGTTTTGAGATTTCTAGCATTGTTTTAAGAATATATATTATTTGTTTGCGAAAATAAATGTTTTAAATATATATATTGATTAAATTGTTAAAATTTTAAAAGTTTATTATAAATCATAGATTTTATTAGTATATTCTTATTTTTTATTTTAAAAGAGATTGTATTCTTTATGTAAATGTAATTTTGTGTATTTGTTTTTTATCGTAATGTATCTTTTAAAGCAATTTTTATGATTTAAACAAAGACTTACAAAAATAATTGCATTTTCAATGAAGTTATAATCGTTAAAGTTAATAAAACTAATTATGTAACAAACATATAAGTAGTTTCTGGTTACTAAACACAAACAACGCATACAAAGTAACTCGCGGATGAACAAGCATCGCGCCTGAGGTCACGACAGAACACAAATATATATACCAAATAATTAGATATAAAGAAAAGTTTCTAGATATTGGTTTACTTACTCTAATTATTTTCGTTTAAGTTGCCATTCTTAAAACTCGTTATACTTTTTTCTGCTTTAAATACTAATTAAAATTAAAAAGCCCACTCACTAAACATTATCAGCGATATTGTGAAGCAGTTTCGCTTCCTGGTCATTAAGTATTTTTAACCTTTTTAGTTGATTTCTATCTTGATAATTTAATTTCTGTAGTAATTCAATGATTTAATTATTTCATTTGTTTATCTTACTAAGAAGAATCGCTTCAAATATGTTAAACTTTTCAAACTACGTGAAACATAAAATAGGTATTAAAAAAATTAACTTTTTTATTTCTAAAATAATTTAGCTTAAGTAAAACTAAAACTTGCAAACTTAGTTAAATAAAGAATATTTGTTTCCCTTTTAAACAATCATAAGTTGTTACTTTATATAAAAAATATCGCTTAATTTTATAAAAAAAATTATAAAAGAGCAATGTTTCGAAAATATTTGTTCTAAATGTAATTTATTTAGCTTTAAGTTTTTTCGCATTTAAAGATATTTTATTTGCCTAATTTTTTTTTTTTTTGCAATTGTCTCTCATCGGTCCAATTAATCGTTGTTTTTTTTTTTTTGCTTTTTAAAATGTTCTCAAAACGACTAAAAATCTGGCCAGCTTTTCGCAACTAAATATTATTTATGTGGTCAGCAATCGAGAGCGATCGCTCCCGCTTCCCTACCAAGCCTGATATATATATATATATATATATATATATATATATATATATATATATATATATATATATATATATATATATATATATATATTTAAATTTTTTGTAAAATAATTAGTTTCCTGTGTCATAAATCAAACTTTTGCTCAAAAGTTATGAAAATGGGTCGTATTCTGATTAGTTTTTAAAAAACGTCACCCACAACACAAAATTTTTAAAATGGTATACATATAGTATTTGCAGGCAGTGGCATTATGACTCTGAAACCTAAAATTTTCTTGAACCTTATGGAACTTTCTAAAATTTTCTGGACTGTTCTGGTTGTTTTTTGGAAATCTCCTAAATTTTCTTGAATTTTCTGGAGTCTTCTAAAAGTTTATAGAAATAATTATTTCCATAAACTTCTATTAATAATAATAAGACTGCCATATGGCAAATACTTATTTCTATTAACAATAGAAATAACTATTTGGCAGTCAAGTAATATAAAAGTACAATAGCAAAGTATAATATTTATTATTATTGCCCTTCAGAAATATATTCAAGTACTATATTCAATCATAATGTTCTATCACTGATGAACCCAGAGTATTTTTGGGGATACATTTCTTTATTATTTGAAGATAAGTAATTGATTAAAATATCTTGTTGTAAAAGGTGGCATTGTTTATTGATGATACTATCATGATGATACCATACCAAGCCAACACTCTCTTTTTGGACTTTGCTTGGATTGCTCTTTCTCTTTTCTATAAATACTATAATGGGCTCTAAAAAGCTAGTGTCTCTTGTGCCATTTAATAAAATTTATTCTTGTGTTACTCGTCAATCAATTAAGTCTCATCCTTTTACTGTGACTGTTCCTAAGTACTCCAAAAATTCTTATTTGTCTAGTTTTTTTCCTTTAACATTAGTTCAAGGAAATTATAATATATATATATATATATTTTTTTAATTTAAAACTTTATTATTTGACAAAAAAAAAATTATATATATTTTTAAAATATTAAAATGCTAGACATCACTAGATAGGTGTTGCAATTTGTGCACCAAATAATGATTTAAATTTGTTGAAAATTTAATCTTATGCAGCTAAAAAATAATATCAAATTTAAGGGGAAATAAAGTCAAGAAAAGGGGGAGAGGGTAAAAAAACCATTACCTGAAGTTTATCTGAGTTATAAAATATCAAAGCTTTATCTTTTATTACTGCCCAGCATTTTTTTGACAACCCACATCTTGTCTAAGTTATAAAAATAATGTTATTATTATTTTCATATTAAAAATATTTCTAAAATACTATATTTATGAATAAGGTATATTTAAGTTATATCTATGAACAAGGTATATTTCTGAAATAATGTACATAATATATCTCTAAAATACTCCATGTATTTATAAAATATATCTCTAAAACACTGCATGTATGTACAAAATATATTTTTAAAATAATATTTAAAATATATTTCTAAATTATTGCATGTAAAACTAATGATTAGTAATTACTAACATTATAACTATATTTGTATGTACTATATTATACATATAATCCATATAATACATACACATATACATATATAAAGTTACTTAATGAAATATGTATTCAATCAAATTCCCTATTCTGCTCTATTCAATCAACTTCTGCTCTATAAAATGTTAATCATCTTATTGAATAATTGAATACTGAATAATTGAAATAATTAGAAGTTTAGTTTCAATTAGATGTTTAGTTTCAATTAGATGCTTAGTTTCAATTAGATGTTTAGTTTCAATTAGATGTTTAGTTTCAATTAGATGCTTAGTTTCAATTAGAGGTTTAGTTTCAATTAGATGCTTAGTTTCAATAAGATGTTTAGTTTCAATTAGAAGTTTAGTTTCAATTAGAGGTTTAACTTCAATTTAGAGGTTTAATTAATCAAGGTAGGCTTAAATGTAGTAAAATGTTTAGCTACAACTGTATTGTCTATATATTTAAACCTAACTTTTAATTTTAAACCTAATAAATACCTGAACAACCCAACCGGAATACAAAGGACATTCAGCAGGTATTGGAACTGTACCATTAAAACGACGCAAACTTTTAGACAGTACTAAAATAAAAAAAAGGTTAAAGTTACATTAAATAAAAAATCAAAACAAAACAAAAAATTAAATAAGTAAAAGAGTCAAACCATCAAGCCAGCTGTCAGCTTCACTCAATGTATCTGCTGCAATATGATATGTTCTAAGTGGTGTTGTAAGCTAAATAAATTTAAAACTAAAAACTGAATTTGTAAAAACTTACCGTAAAAATCTCTAATTCCGAACAAAGTCGCACCTAAAGTTGAATAACTTCGCGTGTTTTTTGAATTTCAACATAAATTTTTTAAAGAAATAAACTGGAATCTAAACTGAATCTAAACTGTCAAAAAACAAGTATATTTAAAAAGAAAATGTTTTTATTTTTTAATTTTAAAAAAAGAAGTTTTCGTTCAGAGTTAGGGACACGTGTTCCTAATTCCGAGCGCAAATATCTAATCCCAAAAAATGGCATTTAATTGATAATAGTAAATAATTTATTCTTGCATAGACCTCTAGCTTAGAGTTAAGTTAAAAGATTTTAAAATTTAAACTAATTTTATATTTTAATGTAAGGGTATAACATCATTGGTACAGAGTGTGCATTATATATTTATTAGATCATGTTGTTGGATCCCTATGATTATTTTTATTAATATTTTTTAATTTTAATTTATGCTTAATAACTTTTATTATTTACAGAGTACGCCATGCTTTCTTTAAAAATTATTTAAACAAGAATAGGAGAAACAAATAAATGGATTGGCGAGCATATCAGAGTTCTCCACGTGAGAGATGCAACACCTGTCTTCCATTATTTTTTTGTAATCAGTTGAAAAACCAAAAAATCTTTACTGTTACTGTCAGTTAACCACTGTTAAACAGCAGAAATCTCAATTTTAAGTATTAGGTTGGTTGTAGCTTAAGCCTATATTCCCCCATTAATCGAATTAGAAGTTTGTATTGCTTTTTAACTATTTAGCAATGCTAAAAATTAGCAGTTAGCAATAAATTTAGCAGTTTTATATCTCTTACACAGGGTGTATTTTTAGTGGCAGTAATTCAAGGACAGAAATTTTTTTCAGTAACCCCTTCATTTTGTTACCTGAAAATTATTATTTTATAACCCTTCATTATTATAACAACGCTGTTCTTCGCTATAAAATAGTATTGCAGTTTTTTGTTAAATAATATCACAGCAATAGTGATTATTTGGAGGTGGTGACCATAGCTGTACTGAACAAATTTGATTTTTTTTTTTATTTTAATGAAAAAGTTGTAGTTTAAAACATGATACAAAAATTTAAACTAATAAAAGTAATTCACACTCCTTGCACGCAAATTCAATTGTTTCGTGATAATTGACAATACAAGGAATACACGACCAGTTTGAACACTTTTCACATGCAACCCATTTGGTGCTTCTAGCTTCATCCCAAAGGATTCCGCAGGAATAACAATGACGATCGATTTGGTAGGCATTACAGCTCGCAACAGGAAGACACTCAATATTTGGACTAGTAGACATCTTTGTTGTTTCTTTACATTTCTGAGACCATTTTAGGGGTTTTTTAAGTTTTAAAAATTTTCTTCTCTTTTTTTTTAACTTTTGTTCTTTGAGAATTGCTACATCAAATTTTTTTTTTCTCTAATATTTTTTCTGGCTTCTATTTCATCAAGTTTTCTTTTTTTGGCAGCATGTGTAGCTTCGTCCTGAGCCATTGCTGATAGTTCAGTCATGTATAACATGTTGTTCTTTTAATTATTGTTCCATTTTTTTACTACTGGAAAGAGGCATCAATCTATTTCTAAGCACAGTGAGCACTGATTTGTTAATAATAAAAGATGCTTGTTTAACGGCATTATTGATGATATCTAATTCTTTGAGCAATACTTTTTTTGTTGAAAGTCTATTTATAGAGTTTTTTGAAATTATTATATCAGTCTTATGAAGTGAAACTTGTGAATCGGTAGACTTTTTAGAAAAACAACTCTCAATTTTATCATTTGTTACACCTTGAAAAATAGCGTCGATTGCAGTTTTATTTGGAGTTATTTTAAACGATTTAGTGGAAATATACCTGTACTTTCAAAACCACTATGTGCATTTTCCGCTTTGAAACCTTTATTTGCAATAAGGTCATTTAGCATAGCAGGAAACTGCCGGTTGCTTAAACTTAAATATGAACTTCTATTCAAACAAACTTCTACAATTCGCTTCCATTCCACCTTAATTGTTTTAAAAACTCCAACATCTAGTGGTTGCAAAAAATGACCTGTGTGAGCTGGCAACCGAAATAAAATAATGTTAGATTCTGATAATCTTTTTAACTCAAAATTAATGTGAAATGCATGGCCATGTAAAAATAGAATTTTAGATCCTTGAAGTTTGTTTGCGTGAACTAAAAAAATTGAACGAAACCATTCTATAAAATTTTCGCTTTCCACCCAACCTGACTTGCTAGTAGAATAATAAACATTAGAAGCACCACCTCGAACCCAAGCTTTCATCAAATTTCGACCTCTGTAAATGACTTGATGAGGTAGGAAATTTCCAAAAGCATCGCAACAAGTTAAAATTGTAGTCATATGTTTTTCATTTGTTGGGACAATTTGTTTTGGATTTTTTTAAACCTTTTCGACAAACAATGTTGACTTTACCTTGATCAAATTTTTCTTTTTAAGCTGAAGCCAATGTTACTCATAAACTGTACAAGTTCAACTATAAGCCTCTCCGTTACTTGGCTTATTGCTCTTGGCCTACCAACACTAGCAGCTCCATTTATTCCTTTCAATCTGCAAAAAATAATGGGTGTTCACTTGAAATCCGGACTGACTTTAAAGGGTCATAACTCCCTTATTTTTTATCATTTTAAAAAAATAAAATATGATTTAAAACCAGCATTTAATTCTCTATAATATGATACTTTATTTATTTTCAATTAAAGTTTTTCTTTTTATAGAATCAATTCTTGATAAAATACCCTTTGCAAACTCTTGTACAAGATTGATATCAACTTTGCTGAAGCAATACACTATCCTTTTCCTTAGTTGTTCTAAATTTTCTGCTTGCCAATTATCCTTGTAAAGTAAACCTTTTATTATTGACCAAAAATCCTCAATAGGTCTTGCTTCTGGTACATTTGCAGGGTTATCTTCTTTTGGTACAAATCTGACGTTTTGTCCATTTAAATAAGCTTGAACAGATTTAGCATAATGAGACGTCGCCAGATCTGGCCAAAATACGAATTGACTGTCTTGATGATGCTCTTTAATAAAAGGAATAAGACGTTTCTTAATACAATCTTCTAAGTAGATTTTTTGATTGATTGCAAGACCACTTTGACGGATTAGAATTTTTGACATTCCTTTTACAGAAAAGGTTACCCAGACCAGGAGCTTGGGTTCATACTTTCGCTTTGTATAATATTTGAAACTAGATGGGCAGAGGTTTATGTCACTTGTGTAGAAGTTATCGTTTCCGTTGATTGATGAATGAGAAAGAGTAAAATAAGATTCATCATCAATGATCCAATCAAATTTGCTAAAAGCTCGATATAATCTACCACACTTTGTTTTTGCCATCAGTTTTTGATCATCAGTTCGATGTGGAATCTTTTTCTTCTTTCTTTTCTTGATCTTTGATTTTGTCTGAATAATTTTATGGGCATAAGAAGCTGATATTCTAAATTTTCTACCTGCTTTCCTATAAGAAACGCCATCATGATGATCAAACATTGATTTAAACGCTTGTTTTTTTTTTTGGGTAATATTTAGAGCTTTTTTTCCTGAACCAGGACGTCTAAGATATCCAGAATCGTCATCAGCACGTTTAATTATATCATAGATGGTCGATCTGGCAATTTTTTCTTTTTCAAAATGATCTACGGTGTACTTTTTGCCTTTTTCTTTATTTTCAATATAAAAGTTGTACACATGTTTTCGAGTGTCGTCTTGTTTAGGTTTCATTTTCAATTTGAATAATCATTCAATCTTAATATAAATATAGCATATTAAAGCTAAATTTAAACGCTTTAAAATAATGTATCACATGGTACAATTGCAATACATTATGTCAGATTTATATTGACTTAAAGTCAGTCCGGATTTCAAGTGAACACCCGTTAGTTGTTTTAAGAATGTTATAACATAAAGCGGCTTCTAAATATGACACCTTTTTATTATCGATAGCTTCAATACAAAGTTTAATTTTTTATTCGCGACCTTCATTATTTTTAACTTTTGGCATTTTTTTTATTAACCTTACAAGAAGTTTAGAAATTCATTAAAAACATTTAACGTTTTACTTTTAACTTTTAAAAGTTCAGATCGTTAATATACTATTGTTAAAAATTTTTGTTAATTACTTGCTTGTAAAAATGCAAACTTAAGCGCATTTTTTTATCTGTTCAGAATTTAGGAAACTTTTAAATTATGCAAAAAAGAATTGTTTTTTTAAATATCTTACAGAGTATTGCTAATTTTTAATTTTTTTTTTTTTCAGATAAATAATCACCGTCAAATTCTACATCGAATAGCATGCAATTTTATTTGCTTTTTTTTTGTTAAGTTGGTTTTATTTTGATGGTTTTTCAGATTTTTAAAAAGTGTTTTATTTGCAATTTAAAAATTTCATGGTTTTATTATATATTTTTAAAATAATATTTAACATATTCTCATTACCCTTGTCTAACAATTTATTAATCAGTTTTCTTTTTGAAAATCCCACAAAAATAAAGGATGTAACAATAAGAGAACTAAAGTTGTTCAGAATTAGAGACTGTTCGGAATTAGGGATTTCTACAGTGTGATATTTGTTATTTATCTTTTACTCTTTTTGCTTTTAATGTGGGTAAATGTGTACTATACTAAACTGTTCTAACTGTTTAATTTAAATTTCAACTGGACTGTCTAACTTTTAAGTTTAACTAGACTAACTGTTTGATTGATCTAATTGTATTTAATCGTTTTCATCATAACAATTCTTACCTCAATTGAAAGTAGATCACCTGACTTTGAGATTTTTGAAACCATTTCTAAATCTATTTGTCCATTTGGTTTGCGATTCATAGCTTCCTGGTAACATTATTTTAAAATATTTATAGAAAATTTTTTATTTATTGCTGAATTAATTTCTAACTACAAGTTGCTATTATACTTTTAATTACAAATTTAATTGCGAATTTTTATAAAACTTTTTTTGACATTTTTAAAAAGATATGATTTTAAAAAGATATGATTAAATCAAAAGCAACAGTTGTGATTGATGACTAAAAAAGTAATAAATTATTAAACCTGTCGTTTAAAGTAATTTAATTTTCCTTCATTGAGCACAAACCATCTTTTTTTCCAATTTTTTATTATACCACCCTGTTTATATAACCAGCCAACTTTCTCAAGTTTTTCCTAGACCGAAAAAAAAAAAAGATATTTCAATCCTGACTATAACAGACTATATATAACACAACACAAAACATTATTATTAAGTAAAATGTTCTTATGCAGATTAGTGTAGCGCCCCCATAAGTGAGAAGTTCCAAGTTTTATCCCCACTATATCTTTGTGCAACGGCTATGTTCGTCAAGGTTCATGTTTCTAGTTATAGAGTCAAGAAAGGATTGTAAGCACAATTAAAGTAGCCTCCTCAACTGTAGTGGCCATTTTGGCCTTGGGGAGTTGATTTAAAGTAAAAAAAAAAAAAAAAAAAAGACTGTAATGCACATATCTGTACAACAATAAATAACAAAGTACACCCAGTTGCATGTTCATTGTTACATGCTTCTTAAAGTAGTAAACAATAAAAATTTACTCAACTGCATGTGATACATTATATATTGGTCAAAGAAGTAAACAAAGTAATGCAAACTCTTATTTTTGTTGTTATTAGTATTACTATTTTTTTTATTTAAAAAAATAATGTCTTATAATGTGCTAAAAATAATTTTATTTTAATAAGAACTTTTTACTTATAATTTTCATTGATTTAATTAACTATCATGAAAAATATATTAAACCTTTTTCATAGGTAAAATACCTTTTTCAACAGGTAAAATATATTTTACCTGTTTCATATTTTGTGTTGTAAAGCTTGCACATGTTGGGAGCTTGGTTATATTTGTTTCATTACGAGTTTCTAATGAGTCACCATCAGATTCTGTGTCTGATGTATCACTAGTAAGTAATCTTTCGCACAATAAAAATGGCTAAGATGATATAAGTATAAATAATGATATAACCTACAAAATCTACTAGTTTAATAAAAATAAACTTAAAAATTTAGAAAAAAAAGAAATAAATTTAGATTTTCAAAAAAAATCCAAACCTTTTTTTCTAAAGATCCATCCTAAAATAATAAATGATAATAAAGTAAATAAAGTAATTAAGTATAAGTAAATAAAATACAAAAGCAAATAGATTTGAAAAAGTTAAAATACTACAATGCATCCTATGATAAAATTTGAAGCATCATAGTCTATCATAATATTTGAGTCTTAATATTATTTAATTATAGAGATGTGCTAGGTACCTGGCTCAGTCCATGTTTTCCAACAGTTTTTCCAGTCTATATATTCTGAGTACCTGGAAAAACTGACGGGATAATTTGAGCCAGGTACCTGGCACATATATAATCTGGGTACCCAGAAAAACTTCCAGAATAGAGAGACGATGAGTACCCGGCTGACTGGGTACCTAGCATGAGTATTAGGTGAGCACTGTTATATATAGTGTATATGGTTTTTACAGGTATATTGTATATATGTGCTAGGTGCTCTATATAACTGTATGTTGCATCACACTATAAGACCACTTATCCAGCACAGATTTTAGGTTGAAATTTCACCACTCCTAACTAAAAAAATTGAAATTTTTTAAAATTTCTTTTGATTATTTTACGCATTCTTTAATGACCTTTAGCTATATGATAAAGTATATGTATGATAAAGTATATGATAAAGTATATGTATGTAACATTACATTAATATATTAAGCATAACTGAATTATGATATTCTATTCTGCATGAATAAATAATCTTAGAAAATTTCAAAAAACAATAACAACTAAACGTCAATTTCATACATTTTTGATTGCATGTGTAAACTCATTTTATTAGGCTAAAAAACATTTTATTACTGAACAATGATTGAATATCAAAATAAAAATTCATCATCTTATAGTCATCAAATAAAAATTCTTATAGAAAGAGATTTAAAGCATTTCTAGCAAAACATTTCTAAATTGGTTTTTTCAAAGAAATGCCTTCTTTTTTTAAACATTTTTACTTCAACAAACCTGCAAGCAACCGTTGCAACCGTTAGCAACCACTATTAAAGTTCTCCTTTAGAAAGAGATTTAATGCGTTTCTAGCAAAAGATTTCTAAATTGATTTGAAGTTTTTTTTAACTTTACGTAACTTTTTAAGGCTGGTATTGGCAAACAACTTGGCAGAATATTTTTATTAACAGATGTTAGGTTTGATGGTCATTGTTTTCCCGTATTTGATTTCAAAAAGTGCATCATCTGGCCAATGCAGTTGACATAATCATATAGTCTGAAACAATCAAATTGAGATAGCATAGCTCCATTTTTTTCTCTTATCTGGATTTTTCGAAAGTTTAATAATTGATATTTTTGTTGCAGTTAAATGACAGCTTTTCTTTACTAAGAGGTACCATTTTAAAGGTGTTTTTAATTATTAAAATGACTATTTGTTAGTTGGACAATATTCAAGCACTTAACTTTTATATCTAAAAGTTGCGTTATCTGTGTTATAAACCAATTGAATTTGAAAGATTTGCACAGTAATATAAATTGACATTCAGTCACTCAACTATATTGTGTAAAGTCAAGGTCTGTTATCATAGAAGACCATAGCTATTACTATATAGAAAAGTTAAATGGTTTTTTACTATGCAAACAGGTCTTACTATCATTATAGTCATGACTACATGCTAAATGTAATTTAGCTGTTGACAAAATGTCTTTTTTTTTATTTACAGAACAATTTTGTTTTTTTTACAGAACAATTGTTTTTATTTACAGAACAATTGTTTTTATTTACAGAACAATTAATAATACCAAACATAACACAACGGCTAACACCAAATATAACTCAATAGATTACACCAAACAAAATACAATGCATAACACTAAACATAACATATAAAATAAAACAAAAACTGCTTATGAACACAAAATAAAAATTCAACCTTATTTAATGTTGTGTAAACAGGTGCATGACAGTCCTGAAAAAAATTGTAGTCATTTTCTGATTCATCAAGCACAAAGTAATGAGGAGAAGCTAGAAAAACAAAGAAAGTTTTTTATTTTTTATAAACAATTTATTTTTAAGAAAACTTTTACATTATAGTTAATACTTACTTAATATTATTAATATAATTAATATTTACTTTACCTATAGTTTTTTTAAATCATTTTTCATGTTTCTACTTTTAATTTCATATTTCTACTTTTAATTTCATATTTCTACTTTTAATTTTATATTTCTACTTTTAATTTCATATTTCTACTTTTAATTTCATATTTCTACTTTTCAACAATTTGTGATGTTTCAAACTTTTTTTTTTGATTTTAATTTATTGATTTAATAGATAAATTTAAAAATAAAATTGTTGATTTAATATATAATTCCAAAGTTACATTAACTTACATTAATTTATTTAACAATTTTACAAAAAAATAACCACAAGTTAAACTTATTTAAAATAAAAGTTGTCATACTGATCAATCAAAATTGTTTAAAAATAACCATAAATATAGTGTTTAATTTATTTAGAATAAAAATCGTCATACCAATCAAAAATGTTTAAAATAAAAACATTAATTTTAATTCAAAATTTAAAAAATTCAATTTTACCCATATTTATGATCAGGAGAAATTACGGACTTTAATCTTTAATATTTTAGTATAGCCTATAATTTGCTATAGAAAATATATACTTTAATGTTTAAATACTTAAATACTTTAAATATACTTTTTAATACACCTTACTTTAACATTCCTTTTTATAATATTCAACTTGTTATTTATACTTATTAGTAACATATTTAGATATAATGAAAATGTGGTCTAAGTGATCTCTGCAATCAAAGTTTACAAAACGAAATAGAAATTTATAACTAATAAATAATTTAACTTAAATTCTCAAAAATTTTATATCATAAAGTTGTTAAAAAAATATATTAACCATGCATCAAATAACAATTACTTCTTAATTCAAAATATTTAAAACATATTTTGCAAAATATCTAAAAACATCAAAAAATGAATTTGGAGCTTAAATAAATAAATGTAAAATAAACAACACTCACGATATAAATTATAACAAATAAATGATACTCACTAGTGCCTATTTGATCTGTCGCTATCTGCTATAAAATATAAAATAAAAGCATTTTAATTTTTTTCTGTGTATTCATTTAAGATACATATAATTGCATTATAAATGTATTAATTAAAATTAAACTACCAACAGCATTAATAAATTACAAATAATGTAGTAGTGGTAGAGCACTTGCTTTGTAAATGGAAAGAGTTCAATCCCCCTCATGTCCCTAGTAGTATCATCCTCAACTCGTTTCTCTGCATAGCATTATTTTTTGCCAAGATTCATGTTTTGGAATTAAAAGTAGAGATAAGGCTGTAACCACAATAAAAATAAATAAAAAAATAGAAAGTTGCCTCCTTAACTGTAGTGACACCCTTGGCTTTAGGGAGGTGAATAGTATTAAAAAAAAAAAGATCTTCAATATGGTTAGTCACTTTGGTATAGGAACCAACTTATATAACTATATTTATAACTACAATAAAATATGCATACACTAAACTACTCAACATTTTTGTTTTGTTAGATTAGAAACTAATTATGCACAATCAGAAAACCAATTTAACATATAGTTACATACTAAAAACTGAGTATATATAGTATTAACCACTTTGTAAAATCAAACATATGGTTGTGTTGACACTAAAAGTACCACCTACTATACACACTAGTTTGCTATCAGGAAGTAAAAATGAACTATTAAAAAATATGCCTGTACTTATATACCTTAATACTTATATACTTTAATACTTTTAATTAAATTAATAATTTTAATACTTATATACCTTAATACTTATATACTTTAATACCTTTTGTATTGTCAAACAATATGGTTATTATGGTTACTAAACACTATCGTTTTAGTAACAATTCCGTTTTTGTTTAAGTCTTCTGCATAGAATTTATCTCTGAAAATTTTAGATTTTGATCTTTATCAGCACCTCGTCAGTTCTTCTCCAAGTCAGTGCATTGAGACCCATGAGCCCTGCTTGCAGAGCCCTATTCTTGTTTGCCTAAGATTTTCCAGAGGTAATTATCATTGTTTTCTAACATGGATTCTGACTTAGAGGCCTTCAGTCATAATCCAACAAATGGTAGCTTCGCACTATTGCCCTTCCAAGTAAGTGCAAATGCCAATTGTCTAATACTTAATCTAATACTTTTTGTATTGTCAACAATATGGTTGTTATGGTTACTAAACACTATCGTTTTAATAACAATTTTTAGACATCTAAAAAAAAAATAGAACCTCAGTGTATTGTTTGTCATATTTTTGTCTTTGTAGTAGTATAATTTTAAATACTATTCTATTAACCTTTACTGTTATCTTGACAACAGTCTAAATATACTTTGTTTGAAAAATAAGTCTCTTTTATTCTAACATACTTAAATTTTCCTATGGGTATTCACTGCTATTGTGTTTAGCATTCAGCAAACTTTTATGTCAAAATTTTAATAATATTGGGCCTAGCCCACAAGGGCTAAAAGAAGGGTTAGAAAGACATTAAAAAGACATTTAATGTAATTTTATCAAAGCTTTAGGTTTAATAAAATTACATTTAAAAATGTTTATAATTTACTAAACTTAATAAAGAAAGATCTATGGTTAAATATTTATCCTTATCCTCTAATTTAAAAACGTAAATATAAGCAACTTGAAAATACCTTGTCTTCAGTTAGCTGTAATAATTTCTCATCAAGACTTTCACTTGAAGTTGCAAAACTCTTCTCATGCTTCAAAGTAGGTAACAAAAATGGCTTTGGTTCTTTTATAGGTTTGGTGGAGGCTCTTATTGATGCACATCTAGTAGGTACAGGTGGAGGTTCGCAATTAGATTGTGATGTGGAGATTTCTAATGGTTCATACAAATATTTTTCTGATTTTAAATCTTTTAAAAGTTCTCCGAATATTTCTTCATATAGGTGAGATGAATTTAATCTTGCTGGACTAACACATTCATTTGCGCAAGCTATATAAAAATTATTATAGATTATAGAAATTTACTGTTATATATTAAAATTTTGCCTTATATAGATATATATACATACATATAATTATCAGAGTCACTAAAAATTATGTTTAGTTTTGAGAAAGAATTTTTTATAAGAAAAGATTATTTTTAAGAAAGGATTCCTAACATCAACAAAAGTCTTTAAAAAAAACAAATTAACTAATACTTCAGCCTAATTTTCATCAGAGATATTTAATTTCTTCAAAGCATTGACAACTGTTAATTTTCACATATCAGGAATTTGCTGTTGATGTTCATTGACAGTAAGTAAAATAAACTAATATTCTTTGTCCTCAGTATCTTTGTGTAGTCTGAGTCTTTGTGTAGTCCTCTTTTACCTAAGCCATTCAAAACTTTTCTTGAATTAACTGTGCATGCTGATAGCCACACTCCATGTCTCCAGGTGATAGCGTCTCCAGGTGATGGTGTCTCCAGGTGATGTTCTTTTTTGAATGCCCAATTAATTTCATGAAAAGAGAAGAACTTTTATCTTTAAGTTCCATATTTTGGAATTTTATCTATAACTTGTTTTGCATCTAGCCTTTTCATTTGATTTTTTGCAGGTTTCTCAAGAGACGTTGAAACTTTCTCTTTGTTATAACTTTCCACTTCATTGCTAAAAAATGAAAAAATGACCGTATGAATGCTTTAAGGACAGATTCGAAAACATCTTTATTAAATTTTTTAAAACTGTTGAGTTCCTTAATCAATACCAGTTTATTGTAAGGTACAGATAGAGAACTTGGCAACCTAAACCAATGTTCCATGTAAATCATAATTGAAAAAAAAAAGGAAAATCTGACCAGATTCTTATCTTTTTGTTTTGTAAACTTAAACTGGTGCAAAACAAATAGATCTTTAATAAATAAAGTGATTTTGACATTGATCGTCTTGGTGCATTCCGGAGCACAAAATGTAATTCTTCCTAGACCTGGTCAAATTTTTCCAAAAAAGATTAACAACAGCTGCAAAAACTCCTTGTAATTGTTATGCAGTTATGATGTTTTTTGAAGAGTCTTCTCTGCAAACTTGAGCAGGTACCTTCTTCTTCCTATTTTAGTTTTTCTTTCTCTTTCTTCAAAGGCTCTTTTTCATATAAATCATAATCAACTTTATTCATGTAGCCCTGTCTTCCTTCTCTTAGCAGTATTAGAAAATTCTTATCTTCTTCTATGATTGGTGTTTAAATCTTTATGTTCAAAATATCAAAAAATTCTTGAATATCTCGGAAAAAAAATTCATTTTTTTGTAAAGTTTCTGTTTTGCAACCTTCATTATTCTTACTGTTTGGCATAAGTATCATAAGTATTTTTAAATTATCAAAATTATCAAAATAAGTATTTTTAAATTATCAAAGTATCAAATATGCTATGGCATATAAAGTTGCTTTGTTAGAATCCTGGCCTGATGCATGAAAAGGTGTTGTATGCTGGAGAACGAACCAAGTTTGAACAATTTGCTTATTTGATGGTAACTTGTTACCTGTTATTAGTCCATTGGGTTAGGCTATAAGCCAAACCTCAGTCTAAATTCTAGTCTCCATTTTAAAATTTTATAATATAGCTTTCATATTAATTTTCAACAATGTCTACTCTTAGGTTTGCTGCATATATAATGCTGAAACTATAAATTTAATTACTAATGCAATATCAATTTATAGTTGATGCAACAATAGCAATTTTGATGCAACAATTTCACTTATTAAGGCAATATAATATTTACAATGTCAGATTTATATCAAAGTGTTTATATCATGTTTATATTAACAATACCAAAGAAATTATATTTATAGCACTATGTCACATTGAGGGTTCTGGATGCCACTGTTTAGTAATGATGACTATTTCCTGAATTGGATAAATTTTCAAATAAAAATATTTAATCTATAAAAATGTGGATTATGTAATAGATTAATAATTCATGATGAGGTGATATAACACTGAGGAAATTTGTGGTTATGAGGTAGTACTGGGTATGAAGTAATACTGGGTATGAGGTAATACTGGGTATGAGGCAATACCGTGTAATGAAACACTGTGTATGAAGTAATACCGAGGTAATATTAGATAAAAGATAAATACTAGGTATTGAGGTAATGCTGGGTATACTTAGTAAAAGAGAAGCATTAAATAACAAAATATTATTTTTGGGTTTTGGGCTTCTAAGAATTATGTAAATGTCTTAAGCAACCCCTATAATATCAACCAATTGCTCTACATACTTACATACATACATATATACATACATATAATATGTATATATTATATGTATGTATATATTTATATACATACATATAATATACGTTGACGTTGGTTGACAATTTCCCACAGGTTCTCGATAAGGTTGAGATCCTGAGATTGAGGCAGCCAATCCATCACCAATAGGTGGTTGTCTTGAAACTACTGCTTGACTACTTTTGCAGTGTGTTTCGAATCGTTGTCTTGCTGAAAAACACATTTTATTGGCATATTCCATTCAGCATGAGGTAACATAACATCTTTCAGGATATTTTTATACATGAAACGGTCCATTATTCCATCGATTCGATGTATTGGACGTAGACCGTTAGCAGAAAAACAGCCCCAGACCATTATATTGCCTCCACCATGCTTCACGGTCTTATGGCAGTAACGTAAATCGAGGCATTTTCCAGCCGGTCGACGTACACAGCAAATGCCATCGCTCCCAATGATGTTGAACTTTGATTCATCACTGAACAAGACAGTTCGCCATTTCTGCACATTCCAGTCAATATAAGATGTAGCAAACAGGAGTCTTTTCTTCTGGTTCTTTAGTGAAATCAGCGGTTTCTTTGGAGAGCATTGAGAAAACAATCTGGCTTCAACAGCACGTTGTCTAATTGTTCGGTTAAATACAGGCAGCTCTAATTGCTTTTGTGTCTTGACTAATGATATCCAGGAATCTTTCTTGACGGATCTGACGATCATAGAACTCTCTCTAGAAGTGGTGGAACATGGTCTTCTACCTTTGTTATCTGCTGCTAACTTCCCATAGAACGATATTTGGAACATAGTCTTGATACAGTTTATTTTTTCACGCGATATTTATCACAAATACTTTTTTGTGACATTCCACTTACGTAATCGCCAATAGTTTTCTTTCTTAGTTCCAATCCAAGACTGTCGGGAGCCATTTTTGCACTTGAAGTCATAAAAATAATAAAAATAAATAATCATGCTTCTCAAGGCTTACCGTGTTACATTTACCTTGAAGGCTTACCGTGTTACATTTACCTTGTGATGGTACAATAATGCTCTGTGGAACACAACGTCTTGGTTGGATGTGGACTGTATTGATGTAATGAAACACTTGTTGTATTTCACTTCTTGTATTGATGTTCTTCGATAAAACACATTGATAAAACTCACTTCGATAAACTGTCTTGATAATACTGACTGATTGACTTCCATATACTGACTGAATTACATGTCAGTTTACATGTCTCTCATATAGTAAAATGAACCTGTGTGAACCTGTTCTGGAAGATTCTAGATGCTTCTTTTCGATGCTTCTGGAAGCTTCTGGATGCATCTGGATACTTCTAGATGCTTCTTCTGGAAACTTCTGGAAGCTTCTGCATGCTTCTGGAAACTTCTTTTAATTATTAAAAAACTTCCGTGACGTTGACACGGACCAGACTTAAGAAAATGAAACAAACCAAAAAAGTTGCACTTGTTTTGTCTGCTGCAAAATGGCACTTGTCAACAAAATTCTGCCTGTGTGCTGTCACCTGTCAGCTGATTGCTCATGGCATGGCATGCTATGTCTTTAGACTCCTGAACTGTTTGCTGTGGTAGTATAGTTCCTTTCGTTTTTAAGACATGTAAAATAAGGAACACTTTTTAGCATTGTTTGATGTTGGTTGCAAATGTTTTGTCCAATACTGTATATATATTTGGGTTGTCCAGAAAATATTATTTCACTCAGAGCCACCTAAATTGAAATTAACACCAACACTACTTGATGGTGTCTGGTGCCATCATTTGAAATAAATCTGCAACAAAAAGAAATAAAAACAGATCTAGACAATTTTGTAACCTTTAAGCTACCTAAGAAAATAATGCAATGTAACCAGATAACCAGTGCTGCTGATCATCTCAAGCTTTCAGACAATTAATAAATAATGATTATATCTGCAGTAATAAAAGCTATTGGAGTTAATTTTGAAGATTTTGACATTTCAAGATCTAAACTTAGCAAGAAAGAATGTTCAATTGTCAACAGATTGCAGAGTGTCATGGAAACAATGAAAGAGGACCTGCCCCAATATGGTTCATTGCATTGAGATGGCAGGCTTATAAAAGATATTCTAGGAGACAAATACAAGCGGCTTGAGATTCTTCTTTCTGGGGTTCTGAAATATAAGGAAGGGAGATTACTAGGTGTCCCTTCTCTAATTAACTCACAGGGAGCAATTCAGGCTGAAGCGATGCTTAATCTAATATAAGTTTGGGATCTGTCAAACAGAGTTGTGGCTCTAGTATTTGATACAAAGGTCAGCAATAGTGGTATACACAATGAAGCTATTAAACTAATGGAAGCATATCTAGATAGAAAGTTACTCTGCCTAGTTTGTTATTATCATATTTTAGAGCTTGTTGTTGGTGCTGTATAGAAAATGTTGTTTGGTAACAATTTAAGCCCTGAAAACAAACCATTTTAAAAGTTTAAAGATGTATGGTCAAAGTTGGATAAAAATCGACCAATTTGGGTACTGGAAACTGAAAACAAATGGTTGCTGAGCTAAAAATATAAAGTTGTCAAAAAACTTACAGGCGTGTTACCTTGCAATTATTCAACAACTTTTCCAAGAGATGATTATAGTGAATCTGCTGATGAATGCACTGATAATCTTAGGTCAAATTCCTCACGTAGCACCCATTTTCTCAAACAGGAAGCTATGCATTAGGCATATTAGATGGTTAACAACATATACGCTGAAAAGATGTATATGTTTTCCAAAAAGATCCAATATAATGATGATATGGTTGCAAAACTTAAGAGAATTAATGATTTTTTAGCTCATTGCTATGTTTCTGAATGGATGAAAGCACCAATCAACAACCTTCAGTTTATTATTGACAGTTTGATTTTAGAGATATTGACAAAGATATTGCTAATGTTGTGATTAAAAGCTTAATAATTTTCAGTGGTACTTGTGAGAAGATCTCATTCTGTTAGCCTTGTTTAGTAAACATACTTTTATGACAACTGCACTAAAGAAAGAAATAATAGGTAAGTTGCTTTTGACTCCAATACCAGAAAACTTCCACCTTGGTTAACCAGAATTCAAAAATATTGATTGTGACACAACTTTGACAAGTCTGATTGGACCTAAATCTCATTTGCTGTTCCACATTGTGAAAGTGAGCACTGTCTGGATTTCTGAATCAGTTGAGCAATGGCACTCAGGCCATGATTTCAGAGTTGCAGAGCAACTTGTTTACACAGTAAAAATTGTCAACAATGCAGCATAGCATGGTCTCAAGTTAATTTCTATAGTTTTGATAAGAAAGCACTGAATCTGTGAAAGTACTTTTAGCGTGTAGAGTGTTTTGGTTATTGAATTTTCAAGTGAAATTTTTCATGAAAAAAAAGTAATTTTTTGTTACATTTGGTCACAAAAGTGGCTAAAATAATATAAATAATATAAATACTAAATTATTATTTTTTGTAAAATAAAATGTTAGATGTAACATTAATGTGAGTTTTTGTATACACGATTAATTTTATGTTTAATATATGACTTTAAGCAAATCTCATTTGTTATATGTATGAAATTATAAAACTTTTCAAGGTAAAAGATTTATATTTTTGACTGAAAAACAGGGTGCATGTTCAGTGACTTTAAAGGACCTCAGGATCACAAAAATCTGTAAAATTATTTTTAGACATAATAGTTATAGTATAATGGCAAAAACTTCAATTTAGGTGGCTCTGAGTGAAACTATATTTTCTCTCTCTCTCTCTCTCTCTATATATATATATATATATATATATATATATATATATATATATATATATATATATATATATATATATATATATATATATATATATATATATATATATATATATATATAAACACACACACACATACGAGTAAAAATAAATTATAAAATGAATGTAAGTCTAAATAATTTTTCCAAACTTTTCTTAGTATTACCTTTATCACACATGATACGTAACTCATCTCGCTCTTTCTTTAATTGATCTTTCTCTCGAATTAACTGAAACAGTATATCATATATATTTGAACACTCTTATGTAGACAAAATTTATTGCATTATCTATTTTTTAATAATTTATGTAGAAAATTAAAAACATACTTTTTAAAAAAACACAAACCTCTTTAAAGTTTTCCCGAACCCATTCTTTTATCTTTTGCATCTTTTCCTCATCAAGAAGTATTAATGAATCATTCTCATGTCGCTTAAAAACATTAAAAAAAAATTATTTTACATAAAAATTATTTTACTTTTTATTGCATAAAAATAAACTTTATTTTTTAAGAAAAAAAAAGTTTATTTTTTCATGAAATGATATTTCATTTCTTTAGTTTTAATAAAATATTCTTTTTTTTAAATTCAAGTTAACATCCTTTTGAAAAACTTTTCAACATTTAGGATACTGTTATAAAACTCACTTGGTCATCAAATCTATTTAAATATAGTGAAGTTTTAAAAAAGTGTGTGACCTTTTTTTTTGGGGTCAACATTTTTCACAAAGCCATTTTTGACAAGAGCTTTTCTCAAACTGCAACCTAAGTTTTTGCTGATCAGTTGTTGCGCAATGGAATTTGACATTTTGCTGTATTTATTTCTCTACTAAATTTGAATTTTCTTTTATGTGATGGTTAATTTTTTTATCTTTTTTATGTTTTATTTAATGGATAGAGACATGTGTTTTTAAAACCACTGACTGATGTGATCTTTTGAAAACCTGCTCTGACTGTAACTTCAAAAAGCAAGAGAGGAAAACTCAGCTTGTCAATATGTTTTTAAAACCAATTTCTTTGTAGTGTTGTTGAAGAACCACTTACTAAACATGTGACAGTAAAGGCCTGAATTGAGTGGTTGGAAAAATGAAGAATGGGATGGTAAAATTATTAGTTCCACGTTATTCTCTCGACATAGTAGAATTACTGTCAAAGAAACATTACATAAATGACCATCAGCTACTAAAACTACTCAGCATTCACAATTTGCATTTTTAAAAGGAATGAACACAGATTTAATCCATTGTACAAATTAATCTCCTATATCCAACCAGAAAGAGACATAGTGTAGCACTGTACCAGGAGGTCCACCAATATTGCATTGAGCCCGCAATATTGGTGGCAAAATTATCAATATTTGAGCCCGCAAAAATCAAGGCAATTATTTGCAATCAAGGTAAGTATTTTTCCTATTAAGATGCCTTTCTATAGCAACTGCAGTGCCTAAAATGCACCTGGTGTTGGTTGCTATTATATCCTAGCAAATACCAAAAATTGTTTTTAAAATAATTTTTAATACTTGATGTTCAAGTTTTTTTTGCAAGTACATTTCCTGGTAGAGAGGCTGAAGTGTTTTCTAAAAGAATAACAGCAAGTTTGTCTGATAATTTCTCTTCAGTATTTGCAATTATTTTCCCATTCCAAAGAAGAACTTAATACTTTGGTTAGAAAAATTTCTCCCTTGTGCAAAGCATCTTCTTTTCTGAATTCCTTATGAGCACATTCCACAATTTATCTATATAGAGATATATAATCCCCTGAGATATATAAACCATTTTTAGATTTTCTTGTTTAGGACAATGTGGAAGTTATAAAAAAACTTGTGAACCATTTTCTGTTTCAGAATTCTCTTTTATTTTGAACTTCAGGATGAAGCACTCTTTTATTTTTTCTCTTGGTTTTTCTGAACTTGAAGTAGTTTATTTCTGATTATTTTTCTCTAAATACTCTGTGAACACCTGTTGGCAGTTATAACCATGACCATGAGCAATAAATTGGCTATCTATTTCAAATAGACTTTTATCACCATTGTTATTTTTGCACCATTTATAGACGTTAATTAGATCTGCACAAAGTAGCCTGTATTTTACAGTTGTCATACTTAACACCAACAATCTTTGTTCATACAGTAGATCATATAATCCTTTGATTCGTTTCGAAGCTCTTCTCAACAAATTTTCTATTTGTCGTTTGTCTTTGAGATGTTCAGGGTTACAAATTAATCCACAGTATTCTAGGTGAGGGTGGACTAAAGCTGAAAGTAGTTTTTTGAAGGATAATAAATCGTTTTAAGTTTATGTAAGTAAAATTATGTACGCTTTTGTAAGCGTATGCAAAAACCACGCTAAAACATTTTTTTCTATAGCGTATTTAGTTATTTTACTTAAAAGTGACACTATTGAAAAAAGTACTTATGTTTTGGCATTAATTTAAGTCTGTGAAATTAATTGTTTTTCATATTAAATATGTGTTTTTTATAATAAATAAAAAACTAATGATTAGCAATAATTATGAAAATTATTATGATAATCAATGCAAAATTATTTTGAAATAATTATGATAATGAAAAGCAAAATTATTAAAAAAAAAATGGCTGAAGCAATACGTTCGTTTTGAAAAATTCTAATCAAACGGCATTTTTTTAATTTTACATAAGCAAAATTAAAAAAACATGATGTTTGTTTTTCTGTCTGTCTGTTAAGAAATGCGCGCACATTAGTCAATTTGTCGCACCCTGTATCCATTAACTTTTTAATATTACTTTTGTATTATATATTATTTTAAGGATTTTATTATCTTTTCAGTTTATGGATTGTTTATTTTAATTTTAATTTGCTTTGTTTTTTTTAGCGCAACTTTTAAACGCGCTAATTATCAAAACTTGCAAAGAACCGTGGTCAAGTTATTAAAATAAAGAACTTTATGCATGGTCATATAAGGTGTGTGATCGCACGCCTCTTACGAGAAGGCCTGATTCCAAGGAAAACCTTACTCTTCTCTGCAATTTCCAATCAAAACCATTACTTCCATATCTATCAGCAAAACAATTCTCCAGAAAACAGGCATCTGTTTCTGGGGAATTATTTTGTCGACATTGTATAAAGATTTTGTCTAACATCAAAGCCTGCTACTCTCAGGTCATGAAATCTTGCAATTCATCTCAAAAATTAGGCTCTCGTGACTTCTCGGGAATCTTTATCAGTATCAATAATAAGGGCAAATCTGTTATTTCACCCTCTTGTACGGTTCAGATTTTGTGAAATTATCATATATACACATTAATGCTGCAGAAATTATATATATATATATATATATATATATATATATATATATATATATATATATATATATATATATATATATATATATATATATATATATATATATATATATATATATATATATATATATATATATATATATATATATATATATATATAATATATATATATATATATATATATATATATATATATATATATATATATATATATATATATATATATATATATATATATATATATATATATATATATATATATATATATATATATATATATATATATATATATATAGGGTGGTTCAAAAAACAACATTTTTGGAAAATTTCTGCAGCATTAATGTGTATATATGATAAAAGACATACTTTTGAAATACTTTTTTTCATAAATATTAGGGACCCAATATTTTTCATTCAAAAAACATTTGAACCCAGTGTTATCTTTGGATTATATAGCTAATATAAAATATACTATTTTTAACAAACCAGAATATCTATTTAAACTACTTTTAAACTACTTTTATATGTCATCTCTTACCATTCTGATTATCTTTTCCCTCAGTGCGCTAATAGCTTCATCTTTATCCAAGCAAACTAATTTCAATTTTTCAATCTGGAGAAAAATGTATATATGTATTAATTATTTATTTCAAACATACATAAAACTTTGAGAGGGAAGTTTGTATACCTAAGGCCGGATTTTTTTAATACAAACCTAATTTTTCAAATTCAATTTTTGTTGATGAACTAATAAAATGTTTTAATAATACTAATTATCAATGCCTGCTTAAAAAATTAAATTAAATTTAAAAATTGGGTATGATCAGATGGTCATTCCTAATTATGTAAATTACATCAAAAGCCTCTTTTAATGTAATTACAATAGTCTAATTTATAAGTTGGTCATGTAAAACATTGTTTCACTTTAAAAAAAATGTATTTCATATAAAACATAAAACAATTGCATTTCATATAAAACAATTGTATTTCATTTAAAAATCATCTACTCTTTTAATTTTTTTTAAACTACTAAATAAATAAAGTTTAAAATTTTTGAAGGCAAAACATTGTCACCAAATATCAATTTTTTTTTTGATGAACTAATAAAATGTTATAATGACTTGGTAAAAATTTCAAACAGTCAACACCAATCAAAAACATTACAGCAGTGGTATGGCAACACCAATCAAAAACATTACAGCAGTGGTATGGCAACACCAATCAAAAACATTGCAGCAGTGGTATGGCAACACCAATCAAAAACATTACAGCAATGGTATGGCAACACCAATCAAAAACAAGCAGTGGTATGGCAAGATGATATAAAGTTGATCATTATTACAAGTATTATTTAGAAAAAAAATATTTGGAAAAAATTAATCTTAAAACTTTTTCAAAAATTAGTAATGCTAGGTAAATTTCCAGAGGAATTCTAACATTACTGTCATTTATTTGATTGCCAGAACATTGGGAGCAACAGCAGCAAGCATTTTTTTTTCATTACTTGTGAATGGATGAATACCTGGTTTTCTTTTCAATTTTAAGATAAAAAAAACTAAGAAGTTTTTATTAGCTGCAGTTAACAAGTTAATAGGTCTATAATTGTTTTTTGTTTTATGAAAGAAATTTAAAAATAATAAATAAATAAGATATTGTTCATTTTTAGTATAAAACTCATTTTTGGGACCATGACCATACAAGATTTTAAAAACGTTCTCAGCCTAATGTTATACAGGACACCTACATGTGCATATATCATATCTACCTATACAGGTAGAAATGACATATATCCATGTATGTGTAAATGTAAAAATAGACAATGATGTATTATTGTTTAATAATAAAACTCTTACCTTTTTTAAAGCATCATCATATTTTTTTTCTGCAGAAACAACTCTCTGTTCATAAGAAGAAATCTATGAAAGAGTTTAAAGTCTTTAAAAAAAAGTCTATCTGTTCATAAGAAGAAATCTATGAAAGAGTTTAAAAACTTTAAAAAAAGAGTTTTTAAGACTTCTGAATCTAATGTTAATATCTTTTTTTAATTGCAACATATATTACAAGTCATCAAATTTAATTAATATCATAACTTACAAGTCATCAAATTTAAGAATTTGATGTTCTATAACTTATTTTAAATATGATCAACATTTATTATGGCTGTTATCACTTCAAATTTGTTTAACTTTTAACTTATTTGCATTTCAAAAAAAACATAAAAACAATTGAAATATTTTAACTAAAAATACAAATTGGTTTTGAGTTTTTGAATTTCTGTTTTTAAAAAAAGAATTGGTTTTTGAAATATAGCCAGATGAATTTATGCTGATTCCGCAATATATTAAAAATGTGAACAACAAAAGGAGCAACTTTGACATTTAACAAAATAATTATTTGAAGAACTTTCTTAATAATTGGAAACTCAATAAACTTTTTGACCAAAGAATTTGAAAGTAATTGCTCAGAACTTGATAATCAAAAAATGCCTTATTTACCCAATTAATTTTGTCACAATAAATCCCTAGAAAAAAAGTTTAATAGTATATCATTATTTTATCTTAGGCTGAAAATTTTTTAATGTTTGGTCAAACTATACACTCAAAAATAACTAAATAAAAATAATTTTTAGCTTGTTTGAAATAAAAATTTTATAACAAAAGATAAAAAAATATTCTTTTAAATGAAACCATAAAAGCTTAAATTTAAATTTAGTACATATATAGTCATTGAGAAACAGAGGGTTATTGCTCAGCTCCCTCCCACCTCCACTCCCACTCCTTTAATAAAATGCTACCAACTTTATTTAATGAAATGCTACCAACTTTAATGCTAAAATCACAAAAAATATCTCAATTTATAATGTGATTTTATTTCAGGTCAGAATTTTTTTTTAGTTACTAAAAAATGTAATTTTTAGCCATAAACCAAATCAATTTTTTTAATTATGTTAAAAAAAAATTTGTTTTAATTATGTTTAAATAACAATAGACTTTGTGTGTCTTGTCTTCAAGCATGATAATTTTACAAAACATATATTATACTGAAGACTCATAGGAGGACAAGAAGTCTAGTTGGTTACAAGGTTGGAAATTTAAACAGTGTGTTTAAATTTCTAAAGTTCAATTTTCACCACGCCCCTAATAGTACCGCGCTTAACTTGTTTCTCCGTGCAGTGAACTTGTTCGTCAAGAAGTTATAGAATTGAGAGAGGGTTTGTAACCACAACTAAGTAGACTCCTTGTCTGTAGTGGCCTTCTTGGCCTTTGGGAGGTGAATTAATAAAAAAATAAAAAATTTCTAGACTTCCAATAATAATGATTACATTTTATAGCACACTTTTTATAGGTATTAAAATTTTTTAATCAATAACAACAGCCATGTATTCAAATATAATAAGTAAAAAAACAGAACAAAAATACAGTTTTGAATGATGTCGTGAAGATATGTTTCTAACTAGATGAGCTAAACTTTTAAATTTATTTAGAGCAAATGGTACGTTTTTATCTGCTTCGTTCTTTCCTGCAATATCAAAAGTCTTCCCCTGTCAGAAAAAGAGCTCCCTCAGTTTCTAACAAGGAAGGTGCTCGACATAAAAACTATTAAAAATCTAATCAAATAATTGATAATGTAAGCTGTTCATATTTCATGAACAAAACAAAATAATATAGTTCCAAAAAGAATAAATGTTAATTACTATACTATTTTATAAATAGTGGATTTAAATATCAAAATTTAATTCACTTTTTATAAAATAATTTTAAACTTTAACTTTAACCCTGATGGAGTAAAACAAGCTCTAATCAAATATGTTTTTTTTTAGGTATTGACTTTGTCATGCTGGTTGCTGATCAACTTGCCATGTTGATTAAATGAACAGTTTTAGTTTTATTGATATGTATTTATTATTCAGTTTTAATCAAAAAAAATTTGCCCAAATGTTTTTTCTTTAACATAAACACAACTTGTCTCAACACTTGGGAATCCCTTTATGGTTTAAAAGTTAAAATGAAGTGTTTAAACTTAAAATAATGGCATAAGTTCTAAGTAGAAAAAAAGATGATATATATAAAGTTTATAGATGATATAAGCTTTTCCACAAAAGAAGATGCAATTGACAAATCTTGCTCTGGATGACATAGCAAGTCAACAATATATGAAATTGCTAAAATAGTGAAAAAAACTGCTTTAAAAAATCATTGAATTTGAGAAATTGCTTAGGGTGTTGGCATATGATTTGGCTTGTGTCTTGCAACTTTTTTGGATACTTTAGGCATTAGAAGAATGTCAGGGAGGTTTATTTATAAACTGCTTACTTTTGACTAGAAGAACTGTTGCATGAGCATCACTCAAAACCTTTTGAATTATGTTAATGGTGATCTTGATTTACTCAAAATCATAATGGATGATACTTTTGAGTAAATCACGATCATTATTTACATCATTCAAATTAAAATATAAGTATCAAACATTACTTTTAAAGCAAACTATAATTTTGCATTTGTCATCTTTTCTAAATAGAGCCTTAAATGTAAAGTTTAATTAATCGTCGAGTCAGCATAAATTAGTTTGCTAATTAATTCATAACAGCATTGTCTATATTTTAAATTTAAGTAGAAATTTGTTTGTACATGGACACAGTGGGTCAGAGTTTAGCAAAAAGGTCAAAATGAAAAGTTTTTAGTCATTTGCAATCAAAATGCATAATATACATAAATGGCAAAGAATGTTTATTTTATAATACACTTGATCAATTTTGTAAAACATTTACAGTGCCTAAAAGTCAAAAAGTTGTTTAATTATCTGTGAAAAGCGAGAAATAACTGGAAATATTGGGAATAGAGCAGTGACATTTTGAAATAATCTATCCTTGAGGAATTTCAAAATATTTCTTTTTAACTTTTTTTCATTTTTTAAATGTTTTTATGTAAAAAAAAACTTTGTCATATTGGATTTCAGTGATCGTAGTACCACGTTGGAATGAAATTAACTTAAAAGCATATTTTATTACTTTAACTAACACCTAATAAAAAGGTTTTCTGCTCCAACCTGCCACCTCTTTGCAAAGGTGGATTATAAATACCAAACTTATAAAATACTTAACAAAAACTGATTTTACAAAACTATATACAGTTGGGGTGTTCAAATTTTACAAAAAATTTATTTGCAATATGTATGCAAGCTAAAGAGATAATCATAAGTGATTTCAAAGAATTTTGAATTTTCAAAAAAATTATTTTTACACTCATTTTACACCCAAAATTTTTGCAAGTTTGAAACTTTTTACAAGATATACATTTTCTGGAGATCTAAGATACATGCAAACATGTATACGACTTACTTGTTTGTTCCCTATGTTTTGATCATACTTGAAAAAAATTGGCACCCTAGCTTTACTGGATCACCTTGCTACAACTTGATTTTTGAAACAGTGATAGTAGCAAGGGAAAGGGGGCAAAAAAATTTTTTTTTCTAAAAATTTAGAGAATTTTTTAAATAAAGTATAAAATAAAAAAAAATATTTAAACTCTTTTTTTTGTCTGACGCCTTCTCCTCCTCTCATAAAACTGACACTGATCATTGTAAAATCACAGCTCAATCAATCAATGTAAAACCTCTTTATGACTTTCAGAATATATAAAACAAATTTGTTTAATTTTAACAAAACAGGTAGGGGTGTGAATGGACACTTTCCCTGCCCTCCTTTACCCCTTACACTTTTTCCTTCTACTTTTTTAGTGTTCTTTAAAAGCAAAGCAAAAAACATAGTTTAAGATTTTTTTTAATTGTTGAGTGCCTTGTTTTAAGACTATAGATGCTCAATAGTACAAGACAGTCCTTAATTACCTCAAAGTTTCTACATTCGTAAACAAGACTTATCTTTTCAGCAGGTCATAATTGCTTAGCTGTTTATTTGTGTGTTTATTTAGTGCAAGAAACTGGTTTTTCAATTTTGCTTTTAAGGTTTGGCATTCTTTGTAGATTCTTATCATATGTCTGAAACACCACTATCTAGACAGCCTTGTAGCTCTTTCTCTTTCTTTTCACTGTACAAAGTTTATATAGACAAAAGAAAATATTATTTGCATAGTCATATAATGGCGTACATTATTATGCCTTGCTGATTAAGAATGTCTGCTCTCACCCTCTAAATGTGTTCTATATAATAAAATAATACTAGAATTAAAAAATTTTAGGAGAAAAAAAAATTTCAGAGGTAGCTCAAGACCCTTAAACATCGGATGGGTCCCTATAATTACAGCGCTCGAAATAGTTTTTCAAAGCTTGCCGATCAAATGTAACTTTTCACAAAAACATGTTATTTTTCCTTAAATTTTTCAAAATTTCCCTAAAAAATAGCCGATCATTGACCGTTGATCAGCCGTTATTTCGAGCGCTGTAATTATAAAAAAAATTGTTCTTCAAAAGTATATCATGTTGGGTCTCAAAAGAAGCAAAATTATATAAAAATAGTCATCATTTTATAAAAAAATTATTATCTTAGATTTGATTGCCTAGAAAATGACATTTTAAAACTAAAAATTAAAAATATGGATTTTTACAAAAAAAATTTATTATAATTTTTTTTTCTTAATGCTTTTTATAAAATGATGACTATTTTTAAAAATTTTATATAATTTTGCTTCTTTCGAGACCCAACATGTATACTTTTGAAGAACTATTTTTTAAAATAATTATAGGGACCCATCTGATGTTTAAGGGTCTTGAGCTACCCCTAAAAATATTTTTTTTAATTCTAGTATTATTTTATTATAAAGAACACATTTAGAGGGTTAGAGCAGACATTAAAAAAAAAAGTCGTTTTAATGGCCACCCTAATATATGTATTCAAATAAATATTTCATGTAACAACTTTTTGTGCTATATATTAAATAATTTTTTAAGAGTTTAAAACATG